ACAGGGTACACAGTAATCAGTACGGAATGAATGCGACACTGCCTGTTTGGGTTCCCCCATAAGGTCCGGCAAGGTTCAACCTTACGAACGACCCTTAAAATGAAAGCTTATAAACAATTCGAACGACCCCTCATCTGAGCCAGTTGTATTGTGGGCACTCGCGAAGGATACACGATAATCGTTTTCCAGTCAGGTCTACCGATCTAATGCAGGAGCCTGATAAATCGCGGCGGTATTCGGAAACGGAAGTCGACAGGCTATCCCCTACACGAATTCTCGTTACGGCTAACACAGGCACATAAGATGGCAAGGGTAAATACAAATCTGGTAAATAATAATGAAACTAAAGAACGCAAAGCTAAATGCACATAAACTAAAATGACTTCTGGTTTTCTAACCTGGGATATAAAAATGATCGGGTCTGGAATACGGTTTGATCTGGGTCTGCGAAAGCCTCAGGCAGTCTGAAAAAAGTGTCCTTTTGAATTACAAAATCATGCTTTCATATGGACAAGGAGCGGTACAAAACAAGTGGGAAATAAGAAGGGGTTTAATTTCAAAGAATAGGGACAACAGGCGACATCTAACGGAGGAATTTTACAACACATGATACTGAAATGTTTAATTGTTTACAAATAAAATCTTGACGTTAGCACTTTATATTTTTTTTACATACAAATCGCGGAGACGGCGACGTGCAATACTGAGCGATCTGTTTATGCGTATCGATATTGTTAAAGCTGTACAATTAAGTTCGTAGTTAGAACATAAACGTACTGCATACCCATATACAGGAAATTTTCCCCCGCCACTTCGTACGCTCGATATTGAGGGATATTATATCGGATATCAGGGGTTCGGTACGACCCAAGTGACTTGGCGCATATATCGATCGGTGCACGAAACAGCAGAGTGCGATATCGACGAAAAAAGAAGTTTTAAAAGACCTATAATCCGATCGGGCCCAATTGCGAATTTAAGCAATCCGGGGACACAAAATTTCCGGAAATTTTCTGGCTTTCCATATTTGTTAATATATGGTTAAAAAAGGCGAGTACACGTACGATTTGAAAGTGTTTCATTTTATTTGTTTATGTGATTGATGGCAATTAGGTCTCGAACACAGTATCAGTCAAATGTTCGTCACGACCCCGGAGACGGATCTCGTTCCATTTGTTTGCATTTTCGATTACTTGGGCCGTTGGGCGCATATACATATGCTCGTCCACGGTGTTGATCGATGGGATGGTACCTACTATTGAATGGTGATTGGTTTTCCCACATAGATGTGAGGTTTCAAATAACCCAAAAAAAGTCCAGTGGGATCAAATCGTACGATCTTGGGGGTTGGAGGCCAGTTAGAAACCAAATCAACAAAGGAAGCAAAAGAACATGCTAGTATGCCCTTAAAATGTGTTCACTCGACACCCTATAGGTAATTCTAGCTATAATTACTGTCAAATAATCGAAAACGGGCCGAATCTTTTGAATTTGGAAATAACACTTATGTGTATGGTATTCCATATCACACACGCTCATTCGAAAGTGCAACAGTGTCGGCAAACAGACATTCCTATTTCAGACCTTGATCATTCGGTTTTTGTCTCTAGGTGACTAATAAGTAGGAACGGCGACCATACCGTTTATATAGAAATGTCACTTGAATTACAAAATAGTAGTGCCGCCCTCACCTTTTACCTTCAATCAAATCGGCGAGCAACGGCCTCAGTTTCTCTTTTCTTTATTGTAATATTGACTATTACTTAAGAGAATCTTCACGTTAAGTGCATCTATTAGCATATAGAAGCAATAATATTATCACCAATTAATTAAAGTGCATAAACTTTCGCTTAATGTCCGCATAGTAATTGCCTGTATAAATGCGAGGTTGACCACGTACATTTCGGAGGGTCTTCACTTTCATAAGTATGTTGTATATGAGGTTGTTGGTTTTACTTGTACGAGCACTTTTTTCATGTTTCAACGGTACATGAAAACCGGCGGTAATTTAGAGTAATGTTTAACCCGAGGTTTAACCCTTAAACCTTAAGTGATATCAGTGGCGTATTTACGGGGGGGATGAAGGAGTTATCATCATAGCTATTAGGTATTTAGGAAATACTCCGCTCTCCGCTCACTTTAAAATAAAGGCAATAATATATAGGTATATATAGAGAGCAATTTTGGTTTTGGTTAAAGTCTAAAGTCACTAAAATCTAAATATTCTGTAGTATTCAGTATTCACTATTCAGTGACTGATCAGTGCTGGCAGTCAACGATTTGACTATTCGGCATCGATCGGCAATTCGCTACATGTAACGGAAGCTTGTTAAATTTTGCAAGTTTTGTGGATTTCAAAATTATATTCGGGTAGAAATGCGTATCGATGATTCATATTTCTGTGAAGTTGTAATGTTCATTAAAATTAACAAACATTTTTTTTTTCGATGTAATTAAGTTTCAAATATCGTGAAATATAAGATGAGTTATTGGTTTTGGACTTCCTATTTTGGGCGAGTTAACGATTAGTACGTGATTTAAAAAAGGTCACCGGTTAAAAGACGCAATAGATTCTAAGAAAAATATGTAATAAAACAGCGAGGCTAAAAAATTATGAGTTTGTTTATTTCCGGAAACTTGATGGGAGCGTTAATTACGGGCGTTGGTTTACTCGCGATATAAAAACCAAAATGATCAGAAATTTGGGAGCTTTTTTGCGTAGATATTCACGCGGAGCGTGGTACCGCCGCGGAAAACGCGGCCACCACTTATAAAGTTTTTTCGTAGATATTCGCACGGGCGAGTGTCATCGCGGAAACGGGCCATTTAAGTAAAAAGGCCCAAACCAAATAAAATTTGTTGCGCCCATTAATTTAAAATCGTATTTTTTAACCAAGAACAAGTTGGTCGTTCTGGAATAGTGAATTGTTCGGAAAGTATTAATCATTGAGTAACTGCAGTTTAGTTTAACGTGCGATTGAAAGACTTCCGTTCAGAAATTATTATACCTAAAGTACGAAAAGCGCGCTAAGAAATTGTTGTTCAATTGGGATTACGCGATTGGATTTAATAGGCGAAGATTGAGAATAATCTAAATCATGCTCCACTACAATACCCACCATCTAAAAAGGGGAAGAATACTACTGTCTAAATTGTAAGTTATTTTTATGAAAAGTTATTTACCTAAAAATTTATTCATATAAAATTTTTATTTTGTCATTTTATAATTGTTTTTGCCGAATGATTTTATATAGATAGGATAAATATAAGTTAGAAGTTAGAAGAATATTCATTGCTGTAGGTATTTAATTAAGTGTTATATTAAGTAAATTTAAATATTAGGTATTCAGATTCAGGATAGATGTAAGTAATTGAGTAATTAAGATTTAATATAAAAAAGGAAATCAATTGTGAGTGCAGTGGAATTTGGATTTATTTTATTTTTTTCAATATAATCGGTTTATTTATGTAGATTTATTTTTTATCAATCAGAGACGTGAGACGGTAATAGTAGGGCTATTACATACATTGATGCCCAAAATAACAAATAGGTATCAGGTACTTAGTACTGCTACTGAGGTGAGGTCCTGCGTCCTGCTTTTCACGAAATGACGAAAATAAGAATTTTAAATTATAAAAACAGGAATTTTTTGCCCATAACTTTTGATGGAGACGTCTAATCGAAAAAGTACGAATTGTTTTGGATTCTACGCACCCAAATTAATCAGAAAAAATTTTTTCCCGAGAAATTTTGGTGCAGTCGATTTTTGGAAAAAAAGGAAGGTTATACCTTGCCTTTTTTTGCCCCGAAAAAAAAATTGTCTCAGATCGACCGGAAAAAAATATTTTCTTATAGAATGTGGCCTGTAGAATCCATAATTCCAAACAGTTCCAAGATCGGACTACTAGATCAAAAGTTACAGCCCTTTGAATTTTTTGTCGAAATTGGTTTTTTGCCCATAAATATACCTATTATTCAAAGTTTTCGTTGACTAATTAAAGCAAAAGCAATAAAGGGGCCTGTCAGCAGTAAGAAATAAAATACCGTTCTAATCTAATCATTTTCGCCTGTACAATAATAAATAGATAAATGACTACCAGCATCAGCAACCTGCAACCCAATTTCTATTTCTTACCCTCCCCCTTCTAGTACGCACTGGGTGACTGTATGTGCCACGAATTGTTTAATCCCCCCCAGAATAAATTTCTACGTACGCCACTGAGTGATGTAGGTAATTTCGATTATAAATAATCCTGAAAACTCAATTGGTCTTGTTTCATTGAATTCTTCAGCTGCAAAACTGGTAGGAAATTGCAATATGCATAGTCTTAACAACTATTCAAAATGATAACCTCGTTATAGAAATGAGAATAGAACGAAAGTTAATGCAGGGTGCAAAAAACCTTTTGCTTCTAACCTCACCTTTCGGTATAATTGCTATCTACTCAGTTCAGACTGACGAAGGAATGGTCGAGAGACATCGCTGTCACAACAATGAGACCTATAGCTAAAAAATCTTTGTAACTAATAAAATTGGTTGAGAAGATATGGGTGCCGTCGCCACTCGTCAAGGGGCTAAATTCAGAAAAGGAAGTAGGTACGATGCTGTTTATTCTTTTAGAAAAGTATTTTCATTCAATTATACCTACTTTGTGTAAGCCAAAGTAGACTCTCCCTTTGTAATATTGGTAGAATTAACGATATATAAATGTAATATAAATTTCGGTGGATAATATGGCGAGTAAAGATAAATTGAATGCTTATAAATATTATTTGCGTTTATCCGGAATTGATCCTAAATTTCTGCAGGATTCTGCAAACAATTTTTAGCGCATTTTTGCAAATTTATTTGTAAAAAGGTAGCTTTTAATCTTATTTGGGTGGCTGGCTGGCTGACAGTAAATGCGAATGTTTGTAAAGCGGATGAATTTAAATGTTGTTCATCTTTCACGCAGCTATGAGTGTAGGTTTGAACAGAATTGGAAAACTGACTACTTGCTCTAGAAATAGGTCCACAAAGTTCACCGTTTATTGGTTCATTAGACTCAGAAGTGATACACCGTTAGCCAATGCGTATTATGCAAATAATTTGGGCTAGCAAGTAATCCACGTTACAAAGTCATTTTTTTTATATTTCAAAGGAAGCTGAACAGACGACAATGCATGAATAGATAATTATTGTCATTAAAGAAACGGTCACGCACATCAGTCCTTGTCGATATCGTGTACGTCGGCGATTACGTTGGCAACGTACCCTTTACCTTGACTTCGTTCCTCCATTGCTGTCTAAACGTTACATACAGTATGATGCCAAGGCAATTGGTTACAAAGTACTTACAACATATTCGATGATGGCGTCACTTGTCGATGGTTCTGTTGCGCCATACATCGGGTTATCGAAAGATTTGTCCAAGCTGACCATTGAGGCTGCAATCGAAACTCCCTCGTTGTCAAATTTTCTGAAAAACGGCGTCTTCTGACCAAGCAGTTGCTGTGTTATCGATAATCTGCAAAGCTCTGAGTTTGGGATCGGTAATGTAGGTATGTACCTACAGTTCGAAAGTTCTTAGTTTGCACAACGTTGTCAGTGGTGCGCCGTGATCACTTGTTCAGAAGACGATAAGCCCGACTGTTTGAATTTTAAATACAACAAACAAATGTTTAAAGTTGAATTTTTCGTTACCCTTTAGAGAAATGTCCAAAAATTATCATTTGAGAAATTTTATGACACAATTAATGGGTAATTGCAATGTTATTAGAAAGCCGATTGTTCTCGAACGCATCGACTTATATGCGCAACACCAGGCAAACCAATAACTTCAGTACTGTACACTAACCGCGAGCGAAGATCGTAATCCCTCAGCGGACCGACGTACAGAACGTAGAGACCGAAGAAAACCGCAACGGTGCCAATTAAAGTACCAAATACAATCACTACAGCGGTGGTACCCTTTGATTCTTCGGGTAGGCTATATCCGGATGACACCAAAACGGCATCTTTCAGTTTGTATTTATCCAAATCTGGGAAACATCATAAGAATTTACATCAGCGCGAGAATGATCTCACCTTTCATGAGCGTTGCATGAAACTCTTCAGCTTGTTTTTGGCTTCGTTCCGTGTATGTGTATTTTTCGGCGAAAACCACTTGCACCTTTTGTCTCCCTTTGATCGCTATTTTGCTCGCATGGATATCGACCCGGTCTCCCCTTGGCAGACGTTGTCTAAACGTTTCCAATGAGAAAGTAGGAGCGACTTCGACAGTGACGATTCCGCCACAGATATCTTGGCAAAATCCCACTGGCCGAATGGGTTGGAAACAACCCGGTGACGGCTTCTTGGGTACGTGGTCGCAGATCCATTCCTCAATTTCCGCACTGGGATGGCAATTGCAGCCATTCTTTGCCGCGCAAACTTTTGGTTCGATATTAATGGACGATTCCACCAGCATCTGAAATTCTTCAATGCCGTAGTCCGTTTGAAGAAAATTCTGCCATTGCGTCTGGCTGAGCTTAACGCTATTAAGTTCAATTGAGTTGACCGAAACTGGCACCTCGGGGTAGTAGACGGCTACCGTGTTCTGGAAGACAACATCATCGTGCTCACACGGCACCCTTTCCACATCGGGCACTGCCACATTGTCACCCGATTCCCAATTCTCTGGATCCAACCAGTGCTTCGGCACGATTTCTTTGACGCGCACACCTGTAAGCCATCCCTCAAACTGGGGGCAGCTGAAAAGATACTTACATTGCTTTGTGTCGAATAGTTCAATGTATCCTCCATTTTGTATCTCCAGTTCGCCCATCAGTGGAAGTGTCACTTCGGATGCCACCAGTCTTGTTACGCTGCCGATCGATCCGAGAATTTCCGGAAAGAAGAACCCGTTACAGTCCAAAGATCCGGCCGCATTTTCCCAGTGTGTCGGATTTAGAATGTCGTTATTGAATTTCCACGTCTTCTTAGCGCTCAAAGTAGGTACTAAAGCAATAAGAAACGTTAATCTATTTCTCTATCGTATTAAATATATGTATAGTATTAATACTAATAATTAATTATTATTTAAATTAATTTAATACAAGTTCATTATGGTCTCCTACATATTTACTATGTTTGCATGTAGAATAGGTTAGGTAGTATGTTTTGTAAGCTATATGTATGGAAGAACACCTGGTGGCGATGTGCCCTTAAGTGAACTTCGCCTTTTAGATTTACATCTAATAAAGACGTTATTATTATGATTATATTATGATTATATAAGGGACAGCAGTGTCAAAACTTTCGCCAATCGATTTCTATGAGGATCAAGGATCAGTGCTATTGAATATCAGCCGGATCAAAAGTCTGGTTTCCGAATACGAGCGAAGTGGCAAAAAATTCACCTACTTTAAATCGTATGCGCGATACTTCGTATCTTGTTCAAAAAAAATAAGTACCAGTATAGGTACTTAAAATGTGGTATCATCACGTCAAAAGCACAATTACTTTCAATATAATTTTGTATGTGCATAGATTAATTTAATCTATGGTATGTGTAAAGTTATTGCTTAAAGTTTGCAATCGTACGTCATTAACAATTCTGCATAACCTCGGCTGTCAATTCCTATTTACTTTAAACCTTATTTTTAACTTTGTCCTGAATAATACAAGTGGAAACAATATAATAATTATGAAAAGAAATTGCCAGGTGGCACACATATCAACTACGGCACAGCTTACTTACGGAAAAAACTATTAAACATAAATAACCACCACAATGCCGGCATTCTTCACTTCGGCACAATTTAGCGAGGAATGCAATTCGATCGACTGAAAGGGGGCGGTTTCGTTATCAAATTCAGTGGTCAGTTATTAGATATGATTCAGCGATTGCCTTTCGACTAAACTTTTTTAACGCCTAATGAGTGAAACCTCCTAATATTAATTGCGTATACACGATTTTTGATCTCATCTTGTAATTTCAGGATCTATGGTCGCGCTATTTGCTTAATTTCCATAATGCGCACGAATTGATTAGGTAATCGTTTCTTGGCTATAAAAGGATATTTAATTTGAAGTCATCGATTATTTCTAATGAACGGAGAGTTACAGATCTAAAAAGTTTTGCCAAAATCATACTACTAAATGTACATCATCCAAACAAGTTAAAAAAAAGTAATTGTAAACGATTTACAAAAAGCACATTTCGACTTGCATACATTTGTAAGATGCAACTTCTGTTAAAATTTTGTAAAAATCCGACCACAAATAACGAGACAAATAAGAAAGTTAGCGTTGCACATGTGCAATACATGTTTTACGTGCTGCTTCAATTTCAATTAAATACGAAGGATCCTACCCTAAAATTTGAGAAGAATTGGTTAAACAAATCACGAATGTGGGTCTCCGCAGTACAATACAAATTATCGCTTCTCTGGTAAATTCTCGTTTCGATTAATTCGTTCCCGTAGAATTCTTTAATAGACGGAGTGTCAGTCGAGTAGAAGATGTTGCGAAACTGTTTTGAAATACGTCGAGCAATAAAGTTATTGTTGGACGGAATGGTGGGAAATTTGGAAGCATGCGAAAGGTACACAACTGATGTTATGGTCTCATCTCATTTACATACGGAATGGAAGGTAGTTTTTTAAGTGATGCGAATTCTGCCTTTAAAAAACATGCAGAATTGGGTTTTGGGGCGGTGCTGAAGCAATTCCTAATGTTAAATATAATTTTACCAGAGATGTATTCACTAATAAAACTGAAGGTTTAAGATCACGAACTCGCAAGAATGTTTCCCGATCTTGTTTTTCAACGGATATCCGACGTAACTTGCGCTCCACAACGCATGTTAGGAAAAACGACTTATTATTTACGAGTAGGTATGGGTAAAATCATTGTTCAATGCGCTTTGGATTGGATTATTTCTAGCAGAAATGGAAACAACAAGTACGATGGTAGTGTTTGCTTTTGCTTACATGTGCTACTGAGCCAGGAGTGGAATTCTTATTATCGCACTTCTGAAGTACTCAAAGGTTTGAACTACACCGACAACAGGGCCAGAGAAACATAAACGAGAAAGATTTACGGATGGTAATGCAGAAAACGACACCTCTCTATTTTCCCCTTTTAGCATACGAAAACGGAAATATTTTAAATACAATTGTACTAAAATACAAACCATCTTTTACAGTTTAACAATTTGGACACCAAGGCGACCAACCGGCCATAGCTGTACTATTAACCAATTTCAGACTTATGTCCATTCTGATTCTGAATTCTGATTTATTATTGTAAAGATTTAAAGGGTAGACCAATTTTATGTAAATTTCAACTTTTTAGTGATCGTATTTAGATTGTGTCCGAAATAGATAAGAAAAAGTGTACAGAAGATAAATTATAAAGGAAAGGTTCTATCTTCTACGACAATAAAATTGTTAGATAGTATCATTGACTAATACCCCCAAGAATACCCCCCAATATTAGTCAATGATAGTGTGTTAGTTAGTGTGATGTAACAATAAATGAGTAAAGATGTTCAAAATTTTGTAAAAATTGAAAAATAAAATTGTAAAAAACCTATCCCATATTATTTTAAGATTGGCAATATTTACAACAGCAGTATCTGACGAACCATAACATCAGATGCTCGGAAGCTGCTAAGTTCCTTGGTCTCACGTTTGATAGATCCCTTACTTGGAGAACTCATTTAGAGCACTTGAAGACTAAATGCGTCAACAGTCTCAACATACTTAAAGTATTAGCGCATACCAAGTGGGGTGCAGATGCTAACTGCCTTATTCGAATTTATCAAGCGCTCATAAGATCCCAAATGGATTATGGTAGCATTGCCTATTCGTCGGCACGTAAAACGTTACTGACAATATTAGATCCTGTGCAGCATGCTGCTATAAGGTATTGTATAGGAGCATTTCCTACGAGTCCGGTAGCCAGCTTACATTGCGAATCTGGAATTTCACCACTTGATACGAGAAGAAAACAGTTAACTTACTGTTACATGGCTAAACTACTGTCATTACCCCGTTACCCTAATAGCATAATTTTCAGTGTGGATAAAAATGCTTATAGAATGCGACCTACTATTACTAGACCAGCAAGTGTGAGGTTTTATGAGGATATTCAATTGCAAGGTATCGCTCTTCCGGAAATACTGGAAAACACTACACAAGAGTTTGCACCGTGGATGACTCCTGCAGTCGAAATAAGAACGGAACTTGCGAAATACAAAAAGTCAACTACAAACAGTAACACTTATATACAGAAATTCCAAGATATATGTAATGAATATCCTTCGTATGAAATCATCTATACTGACGGGTCTAGAACGGAGAGTGGTGTTGGAAGTGCGATGGTGATTGGAGAAGAGTCCTATGAATGGAGTTTATGTTCGTGGTCCTCAATTCGCTTTGCCGAACAATATGCGCTGTGGCAGGCGTTGTTATATTGCTCCATCGGCGATAGACAAAATGTTATCATCGTCACAGATTGTATGGAAGCAGTGAATGGGATCTCTGAAATATATCCTGTTGATGCGATGACGAAAAGATGCCAGTCCATTCTCAAGTTCTTAAATGGAAAAGAGGCTATAATTATTATTATATGGGTACCAAGTCATATTGGTATACCTGGAAACGATCAAGCAGACCATGCTGCATGCCAGGCTGCGTTAAGTAATCACATTGATGTTAACCTTATACATCCGTTGGACTTAGGAGAATACCTGAAAAAGAAAAACCGGTTAATGTGGCAACAAAAATGGGCTGAAAGTAACACTCACCTGACCCGAATAAAACCAGATGTACGGAAACTCTATGTGTTAGACCAGGCCACTAGGGAAGAAAATGTAAAAATGCACCGACTGCGAATAGGGCATGCGCAGATAACGCACCAACACATTCTTAAGGGTGAGATTGCCCGACAGTGCGAACGATGTGGGACTGCTGTAACCATTCGGCACATAATTCAGGAATGCCCCATGTATAACAACGAAAGGGCGCTGCATAGTTTAAATCGAGAATATGTCGAAAACTTCTGTGCAACGATAAATGCAAAAAGTACCCTAAGTTTTCTAAGAGAAATAGGTATATACAGACAGATCTAAAGTGTAGTGAGAGATTTGGGGGCGCCCTAATTGGGGTAATATGACCATAGCAGTTAATGCCCTCAAAAAAAAAAAAAAAAAAAAAAAAAAAAAAAAAAAAAAAAAAAAACAGCAGTATGAGAAAAATTGTCTCACATTTTGAGATTACTGTTTACTGGTACCACAATTTTCACTAATTTTTAGCTGAGGAGAACCGCGAACCTGATTATTAACATTAATTTGTAATAAGGTATTCCGACAAGTATAATATAAACTAAGCGCATTCCTACTTATACATTAAATAAACGACACTTCCATGAATATACCTTTGGTCGGGCATACTCCTTTTACATCTGAATAGCCTTTTTCGTGTCGACCTCCGATTAAGCATCGACTACCTTTGACATCATAGTTTTGTGTGTTTTGATATTCACATTAAAGAATATTTATTCACCGAGACCTTATGAATTATGAACTCTTCAACTTTCTCAAGGATAAAAAGAGTATCAAAACGAAGGAAGAACATATGCATAATCATCCAATAGAACAGCAGGGCTGCAAAAATGGTACAACTATAATGAGAATATGAGTAAAATAGAAGTTTGTAGTTCAATTTCTAATAAAAACAACTCTACATTTTAAAAAAACCAATTAATGGTAAGTTAATGCTTGCAAACCTAGGCTGTTTTGTTTTTTGAGGCTTATTAGACGGTATCTTATCCAATAAACTATGACCGTGGGATACACCTCAACACTCTCTGCATGTCACGCAATGGAACGAATCCATTTGGGTAGGAATACAAACAGTACAGCCCTAAAATTTCACATATCCCAATTCCCATTAATTAGTTAATCAGGAATGCTCAAACATTGCCGCCATTTAAATCGAGTTGCGGTTTCGCGATGCACTTTTAATTGATTCCGCTACAATTGTTTGATCATGAATCCCTATATAAGGTGGCCGCCAATGTATAATAAAATTTCTTTAATTGGCATCAAATTAATTGTTATATGCATTGTCGTCTATTTCTTGATTAAGGCCGAGATCGTTTTGCTTTGTTGCAAGTCGATTAAGATAAACACATAAACCGAAAATGGTAATTTTTAACGTCCTTAATTGCTATGCAGATTCGAAATAGTTTTAGTTACTGCTACGTTCTTGATTGCGTCGTACTGTTGAATACGAAACATCTAATTGCGAATCTTTACTCCAGTTCAGATCCAAGAGTAGTCTTGATGTGAGCGTTTTTTTGGGCTACTGCCAAAACCTGTTTTGATATTGCGGGCACCATTAATGTGCCAGTAGTAGCGCCAATATATTATGTAACGTTTACTGTTTACGTTTGGATAAGATTGATTGTAAGGCTCCCCCATGTTTGTGTGCTATATTTATGACGTACCTACAGCTTCCTGCTTTTGGACATAGCGGAATAGGTAAGTCACACTTATTCTTATACCATTGTGTATGATACCTACTACTCTATTTTTGTAATGAGGTATTTATTTCAAAATTAACAAGGTAGGTTATGAGTAGGTACAATCAGATCTATCACATAAGATGTTTCCAAAAGCGTTGCTTCAGACTGGCGTAAGTAACTATGAGAATCTTTACGACATTACTACTTATGCTTGCCGCACATCTTTTTATAAAGATAAGAGAAAGAAGACAATTATTTAAACTTAAAATTTGAGATCTGATCCGAAAATGGTTCAATCAATCTTCCAAATTGTGGGTTAACTACCAACACATTTTGGTGCAAATTTAGGTACCTACCTACCTACTCTGTACCTAATAAAATAATTTGAATTTGAGTATTGACAAACATTGTCATACTCGTATGAGTAATATTGAGTCAAAATATTGATAATTCGAAATGATTCGATGAGATGGAAAATAATAAACGAGGAACAAAATGGTTTTGAAAACTAAAAGCAAATCGGTCACCAATACGGAAATGACTTAGGTTAACAAACATTTAGCGTTATTTTTTAATGTGGGTCGGTATGCCGTGCTGAGCTTACTCATTTGTACCTAATGTATAAGAAAAAAGGTACCGTTTGATAAATTCGATTTGCTATTATAATAGCGATGAATTAATTTTTAGATCAGATCATTAGCGGGAATTTTAATTATGTTAACATATGGTATCCAATGTTTTTTTTTGTGAATGCAAATCCCGACGTGTGTACTGTTTATTTTTTTTTTGTTAAGTGACTATAAGAATTGATGTAATTGACGACTTGTTACTTATTGATGCGAAAAGTTAATAACAGTTGTAATAGAGGTAAAGTTTACTTATTTCAATGCATACATTTGATGGTGGGTCTATGTTCAAGGTCGCTTCGTTTTACGCTCAAAATGTAATATTTTGTGCTACCTACTACAATTTCTAATATTTCTACAGATTGAGGTTCTGGTAGGACTTTAAACGACCCCGAACGCTCTTTAAATTTAAGTTATGACACCCAGCCTTAAGATTAAAGCTGCAAACACTACGACTTAGAACTTAACTTATCACGACATCAAAATGCAATTTTCAAGTAAACTATACATTATCGCAATCTCATCATTTTTCCAAAACAAATTGCGTGAACTCAATCACTGATGCACTTATTCCTCAACTTTGTATAAGTATAACCATAATGAAGTGTAGGGAAAATAGTGTATTTTCTTATAGCTTTCTTTGTGTGCTAATTATATAGGTATCCGAAAGGTTCATTTATTAATTTGGCTTAATAGTAAGTAGTCGAATTTTACTGTTTCTGGCAGAAACAGTATCATTTCTGATCTCGTTCGTTTTTCTGTTATGCAGACGAACGTCGAGCAACTACAGCTACTTTAACCTACTTACGAACCAACCCCATTTTATTACCTACTTAGGGAAATATTTACTTCTATATAAGATATTTTTTTAAATTTCAGCATGTAAGTAGGTACATACCTACTACAACCGTTGGCGGTAGCGCCTAATGTACCTCAGTCACAAATAATTTAACGCAATTACTTCCGATTTGAGAACAAAAAAACTCGATTTTCTCTTTGCGTTCCACTCCACTATCACTCAAATTTGTAAATTATAATTATTGTGATATATGGTAATAAATAAAGCACACAATATAATTGTGGCATTCACTTTCATTCATTTGGAAATAAATAATTGAGGCCAATTTTCTAAATATAATGACTGACTCAGGCGCATTAATCGCCAGCAGTCTCGACGGACCAAATTTCAGTTGGTGACGTCGACCTTGCGACAGGGGAAGAATGAAGATCTAAGTCGAAAGTCCACTTTCAGCGATCACCAGGCGAGAATATTTAATTGCAAAAAATTAGAGGTTACGACACGATTTAATCATAATTGTGTCTTCCTAATGAAAGTATTTCATTTCAATTTAGAAATCCATCGCGTTAACAAACGATAATTAAGTGAAGCTGTTCTTAATTTGTTTCATCAACTTTCATTCGATTAGCCGGCCCGTTCGGACCTTTGGGCACCGATTGCCCTAATTTTTTCAGGCCGTTTGTCTTTGTGTATGTTGCGTCATTCATTGCAAGTTTAAAATGATGCTCTCAATTCCGAATGCAGAATCGTTAGGTAAATGTCAAGTGAATGTTACACGAGAGGAATCGTCTTCCTTTCTAAATGCGTTTTAGCGTCTTTGCTATGAGACGGGGAAACAATTAACACGAAAGTACTTCCTTGAATAAGGCACTGTCACTTGGTTTTAGTTGGTTTGACGACTTGGCGACGCGCTTGTATTTTACTGCAACTCTCAACTTATAGGTTCTCAGTCCCTAGACGTCTATCGATCGATGTATGATGTATGTCATTTATACCTAAACATCTCGGTCTAGGGGCTCTTTGTTTTGAAGCTTTGAATTTCGACTACTTTTTTTTTAAATATTGTATCTTAGAATACTAAACGTTGATGTGTTGTGTGGGTTCTTTAATAATGGGGGTGAACAAAGAGCTTTTTTAAAATATTGTTCTCTAAGTACGTATCTTTGATCCAATGTTGATGATTTACTTCATATTTAAACTCTTAACTAGCCACCCTCCTAAACAATCCTGTGATGCGCCAACTTTATTATATATTTCCGTATCCCTTTGGTTTAATAAGAAGTGAGATTTATTGCTTAAGTTTCCAATTTTCAGAAATTCTGTCCTCGTCTCCTGTTATTTTATAGATTCTCGAATTTCGAAGTTTATTGGCTAGTTATATAGACCTGATGAACTTTCATATCGTGCCATTTAATTTGCTTCCGTTTCAACACAAATTTAATCTAGGTACTTCCGAGCATTTGGCGTAAGCCCCTAATAAGAAAATAAAATAAAAATGTTGATTTTAGTTGTGGATTAAACATTTCATCATACGCCCAGATCAAAATTTACTTTGAACGTTAGTTTTTCTAATTTTATTCCTTTTTTTTTAATATGTTATCATAACGCAAATCTCGACGCACACCATCCACACTATTTGATAAGGTTATATAAATGTAGTGTTCAAATGTGACAAACACATTTGATTAATTCACAGCTGCAATTGTCTCCTTGACCTTTTACTATTTCTTATGTAGAACTATGTAAACACTTAACATACGTGATTAGTTCATGCATTTTTTGCATGAAGTAGTGACGTTCTCTAGAATATATTAAAACGGTATTGATCAACCCAATAAAGATGACCATCAATAGATTCTCTATTTACTATGTAGGTAAATGTACGAAAAACTCCATTTTGAGCCCAGGTGGATTCAACCGCTTGATGAATAAGGCAGGCAAATGACTATTTAATTACAGTGCGTGTCCAAGTTAATAACCCGTCTCTAATATTGATGAACAATTCTGATTAATCAATAGTTATTTGTAACTTCCTCATCAACGAATGTGGCGTGCTGCGTGCAAACGGGAGCTATCTATATAATTAAATGTATACATTGAGAAATGTGTTGATATGATAGTCATTCTGTTCGAGAAGAAAGGAAAAACTCTGTGAGCAACGGTACCGCATATATAAGCTGATTGCCAATGAGGAAGTCTGCACTTAAACTAGGCAAGAAGTTGAGATTCGCATGTTTTACATACGACGCATATGCGGTCGTCATTTATATTCAGGCGAACGTTTAGAAAACGAGAAAAACATAATATACTCAGACTAAAAGTTACCTTCCCGTTCCTCTCTAATGCATACGACGATCGTTGATTGTTGAGAGATCAATTTTGATGGGACGACAAGAAAAAAGGAAAGTATTTGGCTCACAATGTTCATATGTGCCAAAAAGTAAAATAATATTTCGATTATGCAACTTCCCTGCCTAAAATAGTATTCAAAAGAAACAATAAGCAACATTTTTATCGGTTGGTGAAAATTAGCGCATTTATTGTGGACCCACCTGCTAGTGTTTATCGTGGTTTAACGTATATCTAATATCATTGTATATACACCTATACAATGGTAATATTCATTTTTCGCTATACTTCCCAGCTTACCATTTCTGTTGAGAACCACTAGATTTGTGGTTGATATTTTTATATCCCTTTTGTACACCAATTTAGCGTTTTAAAAATCCATCGTGATTATAAATCGATCTAACAAGTGTATAATTTATTTATTGAAGTAAACAGGCTAGTTTGTAGCTATAATTCACAAGAGATCCATGTTATAAGTTTATAACGGGAGATCAAAAAAGGATTGACGTGGAGCCGCTTTTGAAAGTTCCAATTAAATACGATGTCCCATGTAAGCAAAAATTCCAAAGGTGACTCGACAGCAACTCTTTTTTGATCGCATATACATATATGTATAGTTCTGCACAAACAAACAAAAATCTAAATGTTCCATTTCGAGACATCATGAAGACTGCTTGAGGTTAGTTTACCGACAGTTTCGAGTATTGCAAAATTAAAAAATTTAAATTATGACCCAATTCTTGTTTCATTAATATAAAAACCATGCAGGTCGCAATTAATCGGGTTTTACTGCCCAACCAGGCGTTACGACCGACTAATTGTACGCGATTAATAATTGTGGCACCTTGCGCTACATTAAAAATCTATATGAAGGAGGAATAATTTAATTGTAATTACAGTTCGATGCGAGGAAATTCCTAACAGGATTTTGAACCATCCAACCTTGCAAGGTCATCGAGCACCTTTAAAAAAGTATAACGTGAAAGAAAGTGGACGCCCTGCGACCGTCAATTATCGTAATTAGTGTTATATCCCACATTCCTTTTTTATTGGCGATACGGTGATCGTACATGTAGTTTTCGGGGAAGGTCTTAGACGACACTACTATTACCTAGTAGTGGAGTAGAGATCTGAATGTGAATAGAGGATCTGGTATACTCGGGCGCCTTTGGATAACAATAAATTGTGTATGCCAGTGGCGCTGGTCCACCGGAAATGTAATTTCTTGTCGGCGTGTAGTAATGAGAGTTATTTGTTCGAGATAAAAATATTGACCTTTAGGTCAAAATGCCACTTAGATAAGCGGGAAAACAGTAAAGTTCGTCATAAAATTTGTTTCAATTGCGAGGATCACTGACCAGGGCGGTATCGAGTAGGTACCAATTTTTTGTTGTTTTGTGAGTTTTGTGTGGTACTGACCTGTGATATTGAACATAATACGTGCCTTTGCTTATCGTGTTACGCTTCGACTTCGTTTTTTCTAATAATATAGTCGCCTTGTACCTACCTTTTTATAAAATATTGGTTGTAGTATCTTGAGGCCCATAATGAGGGTAAGATTTAGTTGTATTACTAGTTCCAGTTTGAGTTTCTAAATAGTATTGTGGTAGTCGGAAATGCAAGACTCTTTTCCACCAATTTTCCGCCAAAAAGAAAAACTTGTTGCTTTTTATCATACGGTTCGGAAATGCGAATAGTTTTGTATCATAGATCGCGCTTAGTAAAATGGAAAACATCCCGTTTTAAATACCATCATTGTAGGTAACAAGAAGTATAAAAATACACAAAACGATACAAACAGCTTTAGAGATTTGAATTAAACAAATATAAACCATACATACCAATAAATACTTATATATTTTTCTCAATATTTTAAATTTTAATATCACGAGGGTCTCCGGACACTCGGGGTCTCGCTCGGGGTATTCCATGATGTGCTGAGATTTATTTGGTTGTTTCTGTATTGGTCCTTTAATTAAAGTACTGGTTATTCACGACACGACCAGATTATCATTACGTAATATTCCTTCTATGATTACTAAATCTTCTTCTGCTAGTCTACTCAAAACATTAATTAAAATGGGTAATCTATACGTCCTAATCATCAAAATATTTCGCTTCTTTGGTGCTGATGTGCGACTCAGCCCATGTCACCTTCGAAAGCAGGCCAGTTTCTTAACTGGTTTCTCTAGCAAACATATTTTTCTTAGTTACATATCGCAGAATCCCATCAGATTCGGAAGAATTTGCAACCTATATCGTCATTGTAAAAATTTTCCCTTAAATGATGCAGGTATCGCCATTATGTCCCATTCTAGATGTTTTGATTTGAGTAAGATTCAAGTATTCACAGAACCGCCTTCCCTCACCTCGCTACTAACGATAGAGTTGCAACTTTTTAAGAGTATGGGTTTATGCTAAGTGGGTTGAGTAAGATCTGGACTACAATGGATTCTTTGTTTCAGATCTACATCAAGTATAGAATGAATTGCTGCTCCGGTGGAAAGGGCCCTGGTGGTGGACGTTTCATAACTCGAGTACTAGGCCTTTTCCTTTTGTGGGGCCTAGTCATCTTCGCCATCATACAACTGAAGAGTATACCACTGGAGGTACACGTACCGCATCTAAACAGCCGCTTACTACTTCAGAAACGTTTGGATCCACTGACCCGACATGCGGACTCGACTACCGAAGCGATCGACGAAGAGCCTTTCATTGACAAAAGTCCGAGTTTATCCGAAGATATGCTTGTTGACGACATACAAAAGCGAATGCCTAACTTTCCCATCGCCTACTGGAACAAGAACAAGAATAAACCCATGGGCTTTAACAACACGTGCGCGCGTTTCCCTAGCATGTTTGATTTGGAGTTTAACAATATATACTGGCAGACGCTGAGGACTACAAACGGAACCTTTCAGTTATTCGGCGCGTACCTCGACTCCAGACCCAATAATCGTCTGGGACCCACCGTACGAATCTTAGGCATGATAGATCGAATAGAGCCTACCGTGCCGACGTACTGCCAGTTTTGGTTCGACGGCAAAAAGGAACCGGTAATTGCGAAAAACTTTGAATACAAGTACATCTGGTACAAAAAATGGGGCAACTACAAACAGGGAATATACCAACCCTACCTCATAGCCTGTGTAATTCCCGCCGAGTATAGGAATGCAGTACCTGAATCGATTTCGCTTGTCGAAAAGGCCTGTGATAATTCTACCAATAATCTGAGGGTTATTTACAATAAACCGAAGGAGAAGAAAGATTTCGCAGTATGCGTTAAGGGGTTAGACTTTCTACACGAAGACCTGTCTGTTAGGCTCGTCGAGTGGATTGAGCTGCTCAATCTGCTAGGTGCAGATAAGATCTTCTTCTACGAGCTGCAGGTGCATCCGAATATAAGTAAGGTGCTCAAATACTACGAGAAGGAGGGGAAGGTAAAGGTTACACCGATAAACCTCGCGGGTGGGCAGCCCAACGGCCCTTCATTTCAACATCTTTACTTGACAAAGAAAACCAATCATAAAAGACAGAATGAGGTGATCCCATACAACGATTGCTTCTATAAACATATGTACGAATACAAATACATAGCGCTGCTTGACATTGACGAGGTGATCATGCCTGTAGATGGAACTTCGTGGAAGGAGCTGATGGCACGTGTGCTACCCAAGGCCTTAAAGATAAACAAAGAGGAGAGGGCTTCCTATAACGTTCGCAACGTATATTTCTTAGACGATTTGCTGCATAACCACGGCTGGTTTAAAGAAATTCCTCGATATATGCACATGCTGCAACACGTCTACCGCGCGAAGAATTTCACGAAACCAGGCCAGTACGTTAAGTGCTTCCATAATACAGAAAAAGTTCTCATTTTACACAACCATTACCCTCTCGCCTGCCTGGGAAGCGGTTGTACTTCCTACCCGATTGACACGACTGACGCCCAACTTCACCACTATCGCGCCGATTGTGTCAAAACTTTGAAGAAGAGCTGCGAGGATTTTAAGAAGAACAGCGTAATGGACGTAACGATATGGAAGTTTAAACAACCGTTAGTTGCGAGAGTATCGACCGCCCTTAGGACTTTAGGCTATTTCACCGTGGGCAGAAAATTCGAAGATCGCAGATGATAAATCAACTGCACTTTATTGGTGCTTGGGTGCTTGAAAATGACTGATGTGTGCTAATAGTTTCGCGAATGAAATGGATGTTCCTTAAAATGAAACTCTTCTTAAATAACCGTTCCTGTATTATATTATTTTTAAGGTATTTATTTTTATCTGTTTATTGTGATATCGATTAGTGGTTTACAATCCCGATGGAGCTTTGAATTTAATTTGCTCAATTATTTTACGATGATAGGTGTGAAAGGCGCTTGGGCGAGACGGGTCCAGTCACTTTTGCCATCTGTTACGAATGTAACTAGTTTATTTCTCAAATTTTAGCCATTATACAATTAAGAAGTGCCTTTTTAGTTTTAGGTACATGTATTATATTGTGATTATATTTGTTTTACTTTTACGACTACAACAGTGGTCAAAGTTATTTGTTGTGATAATTAGGGTGTGCTATAGGGGAATAAGTAAATATTGCTGGTATTATTGCAGACATTGTGAGCAATGTACATTGTACAGATGGTACGCAAGGCTACAATTGTCACATAATAAGAGATACGTTATGTTAGGTACAGAATGACATTACCTTTATGGAGTTAAAGATATCTGGAAGGTGTTAAAATGTCGCATACTTACACCGTGCGGGATGCAGTGCAAACCAATGTTGCTACAGGGCTGCAACCTGCAACAATGCCACAAAACAGTAAAAAGAACGGGCAGTGGGTCGAATAGAAATAGCTTCCTCTTGTAAGTCTGCCCTAAGCACTAAACTGTATCACTATAAAACGTTAGGTTTTAAATTATGTAGTATATGTACATATAGGTATTAAATACTTAACCTTTTTTTTACCTTTGTCATAAAAATCTAAAAAGAATTTATCATGTGACCTTAGACACGTGCGTTACTATTTTTTATACGAGTACTTAAATGATCATTGAAGTACATCCTATATAGGTGTAATATTATTAGAAACATTTGAGTTAAAGTTTATCGAAATATTTTGACCAATGAGATCGTAATCACAAGGACGGGACCAATACTGGTATGGACAACATGTTCAATGACAATACGCTGTTAAGCATTTGCTCACTGTATCACAAAAAAATAGATTTTAAATACGTATAGCAATCTTTTCCTATAATGTACATAATATATACAGAATGTGAAGGGGATACTATTAGATTTTATAGCGGTGTATTTAGTTCTTTGTAAATTGACGGCTTTCAGGTTTTTTTAAAATTACCTTTAATTTGTTCCGCTTTTATTACATTTTCTAAACGGAATTTTATTGGAACACAAAAATGCAAAACTTTGCTCATTTAATTGTTAATCGTTATCTTCGATAACAACAAAGTTACCCATACAATCGCACTCGAATATCCTGTGTGCATTATTTTAAACCTTGAAAACTGTAAAGTACAAGAAAATGTAGAGAAACATTAGTAAAAGTATTGGGTCTACGCAATTCCTTAAATGCGTGACCGATAGCTGTCCAAACCACCGGACTAGGGACTACTAATATTTTCAAATACACTGATCGCAAATATAAGCACGTAAGCGTTATAATTTTATAAATAACCTACGTTTTTGTACTCCGTGGACTAAATCAAAGTGTTTTATAATTTATTTAGATTGGGCGTCCGACCATTAGTCGAATTTAAATTGCTTTTAAAAAAGTGACAGCCAATGGGGCGGCTGGAGCCTCACCAATCGCACTAATCAATGTATTGCACAGTTATTATTTGGTATGCAACTGTGTTTAATCACACAATCAACTCACTGATAGTGATAACTTCTTAACGCGAGCTCTCAAATTAATTAACATTAGACGTGACCTGAAATTTACACGGCCTTCTTTCAATCAAAATTTTGTTGCTTTCTTGTTTAATAAAAGTATAATTTTTATAGCCAAAAGCGCTTTTCCAATCGTTTCCCAAATCTTCTCAGCTTTCCGTGCCATTAGAAGGAAAATTGATACAAAATTTCAGCCAAATCGGCCTGCTTCTTACAAAGTTGTACGTACCTAATTCAATACATATCGATTTTATTGGCAAAAAGGCATTTATATCTTCGATCCGCTTCCAAAAACAAAAGCCTGATTGGAACATCCTATGTGTTAAATATGGCTTCAACACCAATGATCTTATAAGTGGGAGTATGGAGGCAAGTGTAATATTAAGTGCGCTGAAAGACGATGTTAAAGAACAATATAGACTAAAAGCGGTTAATAGTATCAGACATCCCCTATACAAAGAACTGGATCAACTTAACAAATATGTTTAATCTTGTTGGCAATTATATTAGCTGGATCTTTTATAAAGTCAGGGGGGAATTGATATATATCTAAATAAATACAATTACGAACAAAGAAAATTATGCTCCATTATGTAATTTTCAGGAAGATGAAGACCTATTTCACTTTGTTGGGGTTTGTCCAATATTGAAAACAATTCGTAGAAAATACCTAAGTACATAAAAATGTGCTGACACTTGTTGAGTTCAAAGAATATTTAAACGGTAAAGACTGGATAGCACTCGCAACTTATTGTACATTTGCATGGAAGTGCAGACATTCTTTTGTTCAGGAATTTAACTACTAATTTCACGTTTATAAGAGTTGTGCTTCTTTTTATTTTTTTTATTTTTTTTCATAAAATGAATAAGGCAACGACCCCTCAGGCGGTCATAATGATGGGGTGCATTAAGTTGCAACCCCCACTAAAAAGGATAGCAAATCTATTAATACCGTTATTTTGTACTAATTGTGTACTTATTTGTACCACGGATATCAAATTTTGTACCACTACATTTTAATCGTTAGGACCAAATCTACATTGGGGTTGCAACTAAACGCCACCACCCCAAATATTCAGATTCTTAAACACGTTTGTACCATAATTTTGTACTCATTTTGTACTAATTTGTACCGTAAATAATAAGTTTTCTACCACTAACTTTTAACCACTAGGACCAAATCCATCAAATTGGTTTTTTGCCCATAACTTTTGATTGAGACGTCTAATCGAAAAAGTACGAATCGTTTTGGATTCTAAGCACCAAAATTAATTTCGACCGGAAAAAAATATTTTCTTATAGAAGATGGCCTGTAGAATCCATAATAACAACAGTTACAAGATCGGGCTACTAGATCAAAAGTTATAGCCCTTTGAATATATGTTTCAGAAATTTAATATTATAATAAATATAGGTGTCATTTTCAGTTAATTAAAAGTGTGATATTTTCTCAAGGGTTACTTATATGTTTCAGAAATGCTGGTAATCGTGATTTTTAATGCACTTACTTTTAATTATTAATATCATGTAACTTCTTTTTTAGTTTTTAAATAAAACATTTATTTAGTAATAATGATTTTACAATGTCCACAATAAGTGATTGTGATGGGCCAGCACTATTCCTATGTAATTTCACCACTTGTACAGCACTGGTACAGAATTAGTAACCTGTATGTATTAACATGTGGTAAGGTGACACATTGGTCAGCAGTTTCCTTATTTGGTATAATGCCCCATGGCGTGGCTATTAAGTACCCAGAAATATTGCTAGAATTAAGATATTTTGTTTACTAGCATCGGAAAATTTAAAATTTTACATTCTTTTGTCTGTCAAGTATCAGCGTGTTACTAGCACATATTAGAACAGTGCCCAGTAAGCACCATCATCAATTCATTATGATAAAAAGGTGAAGAACACCTTCCGTTGATTAATCCGAAAAAAAAGAGTACCTATTGGCCAATATTTAATGGGAAAGCATATTCAGCGCAAAGCGTAACTCCATTCTTTGGATAAGACCGGTAATATTACCTACATTAATTAGATTATATCAAAGGATATGGGTTTTTGTCTGCAACCATTTATGCCGAAATACAAGTGCAGATATGTGAACAAAGGCAATCTAATCTGAAATGAAAAGAAGAACAGACGAACTGTGAACTGCTGAATTACAGACTATTAAACGATGATGCTGAATGGAGGATCTGAAGTCGAACATCTTTTACACATTGGCCGAGAGTGCGGTGGTGGTGGTTAAGATTGTATGGTTTGTGGATCTGGTACAACTACAAGCTTCACTTTAAGACTTACGAAATTTTGACACACAATAATTGTCGTTATGACATCAACGTGCGTTTACATTCTTTGCCGTTAAAGAAGGAAAGTGCGCATCCTTACTCGAATCAAGGTTGTTTACTAATGTACCAAATACACGTTTAAACCATAAACAAAATTAATAACCCCGAACTTCTTTAACTTATATAAGGCGCGAAATCGTTCTCCTGTTTGCCAAAATGTTTCAAGTCGTTTTTATGGTTTGTTTCTGCCTGAATTTGGCGTATACCATTTCACCATGCGGCACATCGTGCCCCACAAACACGTCCGCGTACTACGAACTTGGTGAGTTCCATGTCTTTGTCGTTTCATCGATTAATTGCATGTCAGCAGGGTACTACTGGAGAGATTACTTCGGTGTCGTTCCGTATGACGCATTCCCTGGTGGACAGGGAGAGTCCGGACACCAAACGTACATCGGGCAGGTTTACTCCACCAATTACGAACTGCTTCCAGGTACCATCTACAACGGATGCCACCAGTTGCGCACCTCGGCCCGCGACAAAGAGCTTATTTTTGAGAAAAACATGAAGGTAAACAATAGCTATCTCATGTTAAATCTAATTACCACTGCAGATTCTTGCAACAGACCATAGCGCTAAGCTAAAGTGGATACCCACAAAAAGAGACAGTCATCATCTCCTCACCGACTGTCATCTAGTCGTCGGAGGTGCGGAGGGGGGCGCAACGGTTAACATCGGTAGGATTAATTTTAACGGGCAGACTATTGTCGGTACTACATTCCCGGATAAAGTACCCAACAATGGATTGTGGATACCGGGACGTAACACATCCTTCGATAGTTACGAAATCTTGACGTACAACTGTTAGAAGTTTCATTATGTAGATTAGTAGATAAATTAGGATCCCTAATGGCAATTTAACATATTAAATAATTAAAATTAAATAACGCAATTAGTAATATGGAATTATGCAAATCTTAATTTACGCTACTTGTTCCTACGTGGAATAGATCTCTAATGCTAAGTTTTGCCACAGTGCAAAATAACATTAGGTACAGAATCACTAAAAGCATGACCCTGGTTATAGGTTCACTTGCACATCTCGGATGTCAGAACAATGCATTTCTTTGTATGCACTGGTTTAAATTTTTATTTTTTTTCAAACATATAGGTACAGGGTGGCGTAGAGATTAAATAATCATACAATAAACCAACGAAATGTGAAAATTATTGTTTTAATGTTGAAAATGCGTTACACAAGAGTGAAAATTATTATGCTGATGTCCATTGTGCCCAACACATTCTTCCGCGACGCAATGTGAGCTCGGCACGATTTCTTAGCCTAGTTTTGATACACAAAGCTCTTTAGATATCCCCATAGGAAGAAGTCGCACACGGAGAAGTCTTGCAGTGTGTCAGGTGGTTCCATCTTAAGTTGCAACCAGGTGTGCTGAATGTCAATATTTGAAAAGCAAGAAGCCGCGAAGCAAAAAATGCCTCCACCGAGACGTGACATAGAACCATTTTTATCTTCAAAGAAGTAAGGTCCAAGCACCCCACGACAAGACACTGCACACCATACAGTAACTTTAGGATTGTGTAACGGACACTGATGAAATTCAGTGGCCCAGTAATGCATGTTCTGTTAATTTATATACATAGGCATTTAAATGAAACATCCAAAAATTATCGTCCTTTTTGCTTTTACTCAGTAACTGTTCACAAAATCGTAGGCGTAACTAACTATCATTATGCTTTAGATATTGAACGACGGGAAGGGATGAAAGTGCAGGCTGTGCAGTAGTTTTTAAACCATGTTCCGCGTCTAAAATTCTAGTTCAATTAAATCTAGTCTGTACCACTTTGTAGTATGAAATGAGATTATAAGAGAGCTTAGTGTCGTTTTGAAAATTGTAACATTGGCTACTTTGGTTGCCGTTGCCACTGGAAAAGTCCGTTTCGTTACTTTAAGATGAATATGGAAGGGTTTGGCGATTCTTGACAAAGGTGGTCAGCAAATATAAATTTAAACACCATTCATTCATTAGAACGTATCCGGTTTGAAACTAAGTGAACACATTGAGCTTTCTTCGAGAGCTCGCGTGGTCGATTACACTCAATAGAGACGCCGCAGTGCTCATGCCAAATGGGGAAATGTCCGAATAACGGTAAAGGGCCGATGTGAAGAAGCAAGGCAAAGATACGTGCAATTACACGAAGGCAGAATGACATGTTTCAGGAATCCCGATAAGCATTCCTGGCAGGTAAGTGGAAGGAGCCTTTAAAAACGATTGATTTTTCGCACCGAAGGTACTCTCATCTCTGGGATTACACAAACTAGTGTTTCATGAGGATATAAGGGTGAATATGGGCAAAATTGGAAGGCACGATGATACAGCAACTTTGAAGATAGTAGCAACTTCCATAAGATATATAAGATTGTTGACTGCCACAATTTCCTATCCAGCGATCTCTTTAAGTTATTTTACTTTGGTATATGGCTAGTATCTGACTGTAACGAATTACAATGTACTATACATCATCAACTTTGTTGAAAATCTATAATGTGTTAAGCGAATACGGTACGTTTTCCAGGTAGCTGGTGACATTTGCCTTACTTCTAGAAAAAATCTTCAAGTGTGGACAAAAGCGTTTATTAAAATAATATGTAATACATTATTTAGTGGCACTTGGTACAATTATAAGTCAACATTTCATACGACGTGAAATGTATGGATGACCCACTGTAAGGTATCCACAGTCCCCTAGTCCCTCTTCCTCCACTGACCACCTTTCCAATTATCGTTTCGCCGTGATACTTTACGCGTCCTATGTGAAGGAGACGTTCATCCTCTGAACCTCCGACGACCAAAGTGCAGTCTGATAACTTATCTAACTCCCCCACCTTTATCGGAACCCACTTCATTAGCTCAGGTTCGACGCTGCACAGTATCTGGAAACCTTACAGTTTACTCCCCATGCGTTTGTTGAGGTTTTTACCTTCATATTTTTGTCGACGTATAAAACTCTACCATGCGCTGTCGCAATCCCACTCGTACAATCGAACGTAAACGTTGCGGGTAGGAGATCGTAATCTTTTTTGAAAACCTGGCCGATGTAGGTTTCGCGCCCGAATGAGTCATAACCGCCGATTACTGCATCAGAGGGCGTTTTTCCAGAGTAATCCCTCCAATAGTACCCTAAAACTTCGGACGGATCTTTTATGGACGTTAGTAGTATTCTAGCCACAAATCTTATTACCTTCATGCTTTGTCGTTGTTTCTACGCAGGGACAGTAAAGTCGACGGATGCAGCTCACGCTAATATCTTCAATTATTACAAGAGCGAGGAGAGACACAAATACTTTTAACAAATACATTTTGTTCAATGACATAGTTGCGGTGGTTTGTTTTCTGTCATAAGAAGATTAAATTATCGGTGTTTAAGAGCAACGGGTTATCGGATCTCTCAAATAAGTCTAGTTATGAGTGTTTCATTTAACAAAATTTGAACGTTAGAAGGTTGTATGTTTGTCGAACACATTTTAGCCATGCCAAGTTTTGAATCCGTCTTCGGGCTTTGTCTTATTCCATTGCACCCATAAAAAAATCGAAAACAAATGTCATTAGGAAAAGTAAACATATATCACACATAGTAAAAATCAAATTTTAATTGAAATTAAATTTTAAAAAACCAAATGAGAAAACATATATTAAACATAGTTGTAACAATTTGTTTAAATCTAGCATCCATAGGTTTCATTCCCAGATTTTTGTATTTGGCCTCCATAAAACTGTATTAGCACCAGCTCATATGTGACAATCGTACCTGCAATCTACAAGCGGTGACAGTTGATAGAAATCTCTTTTACACCGTACACACTTACGCTTAGTACTATGCTTCTAGTCACATTGAAGAATTTCTTCCCAGTCAAGGAGATGGTTTCGATGCCGACGTGCAGAACGAATCTCCTAACCTGCAAATGAGGATATAAATTTAGCATAACTAATATACTTACCTACTTCAATATTATAAATCGTGGACGGTACGGAATTGAGCAGAGGAATAAACTTCTGGCTCTCATCATGGATCCAAGAACCATAAAGTGAAACGCAAATAGTGCGACCAATCAGAAATCCAAAGGAAAAATAAAAGTAGACCATCTCTGTTGTATTCCTTATCGGCCTACAATTATCCACACTAAAAGGAGAAAGTCCTACTGACACTCACTTTAAACTATTAAAAAACTGCACAAGTATGAAAAATAAGTTACTTCCAAATGACACCAGTACTATATAAGAAATGTGTTCATTTAATATTCGACAAAGCTTGCTAAGACGATTATAGTCTTCCCGAAGGTTTCGCCATAATACAATGTCTGACAGCTGAAGGGGTTGTCTAGGCTTAATTTCTCTTACAGCTACTGCCGCTTGGAGGTAGGACTCCATCCTGTCGCTCACTTGCCGAAACCGAAGTGCGAGAGCTGAGCTGATCAAAATTATAAACAAATCAATATATGTCCAGGAAAATGTTGAAATCAACGTGATCACCTAGAAGTGCGAATAAAAATGTGCCTTAGAATTTACCACTTACCTGTAACGTCACGCCTATACCAATCGAGTACGTGATGCTTGAAAACACTTGTGGATATGCTAAATTGACGAAGAAGTACTCAAAGATCTCAGCAATTGTGTTTCGACAGTTGATCGCACGTACAAAGTTCTGGATGGCCGACAAAAGGTGTTCCGCTAAAATTCCACAGTTATATTATTTATAAAAAAAAGAAAATTACATGTGGCGAATGACAGAATGATCACAGAGGTTATTTTGAGCCTCGCGTCGAGATTTGATGGCCACCCATAGGATCGCATTCCGATATCAACCGCGCTCCATTCTCTCATCAGGTGAGCCCAATCCTTCGCCAGCGATACGAAGAGTAGGTGCACCACAATCGAATTCAAATAGAACATTACGGCAGCTGAAACGAGGGTCGTTCCCATTAATTAAATTTCTTGAATTGTACGTACACACAAGGCCCATGGTTGATCCATGGTTGGCCATATGGTATATCGTTGACCACCCGCAAAACACACTTCCAACGACAACGAGGAGGGTGTAGAGCACCTTCCAGGACTTCCACTTAAAGTAGATGCAGTGCTCGTGCGGACCGCAGGCATCGGAAAGTGGCATAATACCAAAAACTTGGCCCAGTAGCACAACAAATGCGAATGATTTGAATAAACGCTGTTCGTCCAAATCTTTTTGGCGCGTGGATTTTGAGACATATTTTTTTATCCATTTCATTTTGTCCAACTCTAAAATAAAGTACCTACTTATTACTCTTATATGTATATATGGTCCGAAAGCCCCAGAAAATCTGGTCGCAACTGTCGAGCTGCGAGAAGCGGCAGCACACGATATAGGGGAGTGAGGACAAATCGGCATGGCATTAATTCGCAACAGGAACAAATAGAAGAAAACGTTAAGGCGATTTATACGACGTTATTTATTTTGGGCTTTTGCGTAGTTGGATGGCTGCCCGCGGTGATAGCGTATTTGATTAAGTATATGCCCAAAGGGGTGCCTCTACAGTGGTAGGGAATTGGAAAGAATGCGTATGGAGAACATTCACATGTTTTTCTACATATCGTGGTTCACAAAAGTACTGATTATTATTGAAAACTTTAGCAAAACCGATTATTTATTCGTGTAGGATGATAGAAATTAAGGTAAGAGTTTTTTTTTTTTTTTGCAATAACTTTTTTAGCAATAAACGCAGAAAAAATTCCTTCCTTGGTACAAGCCTCGACACCATAACGAACCAAATAGCGAAAAAAGTAGAACAATAGCTCTTAAGATAAAGAACTAGTAGTGTCTTAACGAACGAGCGGGCGGACGGACGGACAAAGTGGCTACAATAGCGCATTTTTTTTAATTTTTGTGGAAATGCGTTAAAAACACCTTCCAGAGTAAGTGAACAACGTAAAGAGAACGTCATCATAGGGACAAGATTTTCAGCAATGTTTTAAAGTTATGTATACGATCGTATATTTGCGTATGTGGCAAATTATCATTTCTACGAGGGTTGTCCAGAAAGTAACAGACGTTTTGAAATAAAAAATTGTAAAATTGTAAAGAAAATCTTTTATTATATACACTTAGGAGCTACACCAATGGACTATTTATTTATATGAAGTTCGGCGTCCCTATCGAACCGCTACGTTGCGAGCCAGGTCTTCATCGCTCGGAGGAGGTGGAAGTTTTGTTTTTTGACGACAACGCCCGCCCGCACACAGTCAACCATACTGGACAGCTCTTGGATGATTTTGGATGGAAGATTTTTCATCACCCTCCATACAGCTCGGATCTAGCGCCAAGCGACTTGCACCTCTTCCCAACGATGAAGACCTCGCTCGCAACACAGCACTTGGACAGTGATGCCGAACTTCAAGCTGGCGTTAACCAGTGGTTAAGGTCTCAGGCGGCGGATGTATACAAAGTTGGAATCAAAACACTTGTACCACGCTATGATAAGTGCCTCAATATGAATGGTGCCTATGTTGAAAAATAGCCTAAGAGTGTAACTTTCCAAATGTATATAATAAAAGTTGTTTCGTACACTTTCTTAATTTTTTATTTCAAAACGTCTGCTACTTTCTGGATAGCCCTCGTATATACGCCAAGTAAAAAGTACCTTTAAACTTAGCTTAACACGTAAAGATCCGGTGAAATCTCAAAATCGAAATTTGAAGTGATTTCAATAACGTCCCAATTTCTTATTGGTGAGTTAACGAAGCTCGTTTACACCAAGGGAGTTTATGTATATGCTTTCACAAATTGTTTTTAATCGACCGGACAAGAGCCAAATGGCATAGGTACATCAATATGCTTGTGATTGTCCCATTCCCAAAAACTGTCTTACAAGAGAATTTTTTTAATAAACGTGCAAAGTTTGGGGTTTGTAAGTTTTAAAAAGCAGATATGGCTAGAAACTCTCTCTAGTCGTTAAGTGAAGGTTGCTTCACTCGACGCTCTAGTGGTATATGGTTATTGAAAAGAAACAGATACCGAAAAAACAAACGTGCACGACTGCACGTCTTTATTGGTATCCAAAAGATCTTTTTTAATAATTTTATTATAAACGATGTCCCCTCTCAACTGTTTCGTTTTGAATATGGCACCCTGTATAGGTAATGACCCTGAAATTTGTCCATATTCCGTATGAAGACCCACCTTGATCTTGCTACACGGTTGCTTAACGAAATTAAAGTAAGTATACTTACACAGTTTTTTACCTAATCTGTGAAATGGGCCCCGTCAGGGACAAAAACCTAAAAATTCGTTTAGGTTCAATAAATGTTATACAATCACAACAACTGTGCCCTAACTAATACTCTGATTGCATTGAAAACACTAAGCGACTGCAAAACAAAGTGCTTCCAGAGAATTTGATATCGAGCGACTATTTCAACACGTAAATACACATAAAGTGGAAGCGCCAAAATAAACGAAAGGTTAGTTAGTTAAAAATTGAACGTACACACGCTGAAGGTGATCCATAATTTATGAAGCGGGTAAGACGGCACCGAGTGCATTGTTTGTCAGAACTGAATTCTGTAAATGGTTCGATCGAAATAAAAAAAATATCTGAAATTGCTGTAATTACGGTAATAAAACACGCACAGGAGACGTAAATGAATTGTGTTATTGTACTCTTATGGTAGATACCTATCCTTATCATGATGATGTCAAGTTTATTACATGGTGGACACCAAAGCGCAAGGGTGTTTTGAAATCCACTTATTCATACGTATTTTTTTACTACGCTACGCGCATCGTGTTAGATGGCAATGCAATTTACAACAGGGATGCCCGTAAACTTGAAGACAACACCCTATGCAGAAACTGTCTGTCGTTCTGTCGGTCCGTCTGTAGGTACGTTGGTAAATCTGCGGATAGGTGGCGTACCAAATGATAAATTATTTCTTGTCAGGAAATTGACGAAACAAAACGAGGATTTTATGAAAACATATTTAAATTATAAAAACTACATTTGACGTTAAGTCGTTAACGATTTATTAAATAAATGTTAAGGAAGTGTGAAGTATTCCCAGAACATTTAAGTTTTCTTTTAAACAATGAATGAGAAACAAACAATGGATTTGTGTTAACAAACACAGTCTAATCGAAATTTGCGTTTAACATAACGATTCCAAACGCTTGGGAGTAACAGTGATTATTGCACCGAGTTACAATATGTATGATTTGAAACCAGATTCTATTTGTGGGTTGTACGACAAAATTTATCAGACACGCCGCCCGAAACCGGACAATAAATTATTAATTCACGGTCAAGGGGCCCCTATAAATAGATAAATTTTTCTTATTTCTTTTTAAGATGAAAATAAATTCAATTAAATTTGTACAGCTGGAGCGGATAAAATCATTACTGTTCGTTAGGGCAAGAGCACGCAAGCTTCAAATTTTAAATTTCTCACCCCACTTAGCGATCATACGATTCCAGCCCGCTTTCGGTTGGCCAGCGGAATTGAACGAAACCTCTTAGCTGCCCTTCGTTTCGTTCATTTCATCTAAATCACTGTCGCTTTTGTTGACTCTGACTGTTGTCGTAGTTCGCTGTGAAATTTCACTCCATTTCGCATCTAAAAACCGATATAAGAAATGGAACAGTTTTTGGGAAAAAAGTACAAGCTGACGCACAGTGAGAATTTCGAAGAGTTCATGAAGGCCCTCGGTGAGTTTTCGATTCCATTTCTCCGGCTTTTTGTAAAGGTTACGTTTTGTTTTCGATCACCCGACACTTCTATTCAATCAATTTATACGGCTTAATTGACCAATTTAAACTTCCTAGAAATTTTCTATTGTACTTACTTTGAGTGAATGTGTTATCATTTCGATTATGGACAATTGAAATTTCGTCTAGGTATGTAGCAGATGATTCAATTTTATTTTATTCCTTTTATTGCGTGTAACCTGGTTGCTAGGGATAGCGCAATTATGCATTTATTCCATTTAGAATAATCGTAAAACTTTATCCTGTATAGCCAATGTTCTCAATTCGTTGTAGCACAATTGGCGCGGCGCATATCGAGTAGGTATCTACCTAATACAATTCCATTGATTAAAAACGTTATTCCATGCTAATACATAGTGTTCATAGAAGAAGGTATTTAAAATAAACTTGGCGGAAGAGGGGATCAAAATAAGCACTTTTTCCAAATAAACCGACTACCGAGTGTTTAACGTGTTTCGTTTGGGAACCACCATAAAAAAGTGTCGAAATTTGAATTTCTTCTTAGATTTGTTTTCAGCAACTATAAGAGTTATAAAGACTGGTGGCACATCTTTGAATAGGTTTTGCGGTGGGCTCTTTTTGATTTTGGAAAGATTTTCAAAATTCCTACCACGAAAAAAAAACACGTTGGATCCTCGATGTGTTCCGAAACAGTGCTTGTTTGATCCCCTCTACCACCCAAATATTTTTTTACATTCTTATATGTAACATCCTGTAGGTATATTGTTGTCTGTATAATTAATAACAATTTATCTATGCCTATGCAATCACCTAGCAAATAATTCATTTGTACGTTAGTTTCGGTTGTGTAGTACACTCGGTCATCATTTTTTATTAGGACCCAATTTTACCGAAAAATGCTTTGAATTAATTAAGCTGCAATTTCATCATAAATAGCTTATTTTCTTTGATTTGTAGATTTCTCTATTATTTCCTTGAGTACGAGATTCATTCTTTGCATAAGGTATGCTAGCAAAGTTATTGTGATTCTGATACATTCCCCGATTACTCACTAAATAAAATCGGATAAAACGCGCTCATGTGAAAATATTTGCATATTTATCCGGTTGTTTTGAAAGTGATAAGATGATGAAACTATCAATTCAATTTATTTGCATTAATCATCGGAGATTATCAACAACTATTATTTATGCAGCGGATAATTGACTACTGATTGATTGTGATAAGTAAGTAAAGCAGTTATTCACGGGAAAAATATTAAAGGTGTGAATATGTTATATGAATGTTCACAGACTCGATAATCAAGTTAAATTTAAAATATTTGGAATCTGCTCAACTTTTCTCATTCATCCTGCTTTCTATCTCTTCGAAAAACTAAGGTACCAATGGATTTGATAGTAAAAAGGCAGATTTTATTTAGAGGTAATTTGCTTCGTTTTCAATGAAGAAAACCTTCAATTTAATGGGTTCTTTCTAACTGTGTATTCAAAATCGTGTTACAGATGGCTATTAAGTTCAATATTCGGTTAAGTATAAGTCATAAAGACTGTGTTCAGGAGAGATCAATATAGTGTTACTAAACTTATAGAGAACATCATAAGTAAAAAACCGCTAAAAGGGAGATGTAAATTTAATTTTTTTGTCAATATATGTATTTAGCATTTTACGGTAATTTTCTGTTTATGAACAAGTAATTCAGGAAAAAAACTCAATTTTGAAGTCACATTTCAGTGAAAAAACAAAAAGGAGAAACGTTTATTAAGCAATTCTTTGCAAATTTATCTCAAGAGCTAAGTTTTGTTTAAGTAAACATTTGAAATCATATCATACCAATCTCTATTTTTTAAAGAAGGGAGTTTCAATCCCTCTGTTGCAAAATCCTGTCACAGAAATAGTTAGGATTAAGACATTTTTCACCGACAAATTCTTAGAATCATTACTGTAATTCTAGATTTACATGTATCAAGTAATCACATAGTTTGAAATTTCATACATAATATTAGGTGAAGTAGCATGACTTGAAAGTAAAGTATTAATTTTCTTAAAAAAGAACCTACACTTCCAAGAGCTCATCATTCCGAAAAGCTTTTGGTCCATCCCAATATGTACCTATATCCATTTATGGTGTAAATATTGAAATTACACTACATACCTAGTCGTAGTCATCGTGTTTCTTGAAATAAGTTAAATGCGTGACATTATTTAGTTAAGGAAAAGGAACTCGTATAATCAAAATTCTTAGAGTACCGTTTTAAGAACCAAACGCAGCTAAAGATCATGGTCGTAATAATGAACAACATTAGGCGACGAGAATCTCATTGTAAACAGGCAAAATAGGAAATGAATAAAAGCGAGTATACATGGGAAAATATGTAATTTGGGGCACTGTAAAAGCTGCGCCAAGTTTCAAAGGTACTGTCAGCGAAACCTACTTCTTATACTTATTTATTGTCTTATTAGAGCTTTGTAAAGTTATAGACCAATTGTTGGAGTGCGCTTTTATGCAAATATATGAACAATATCGTGATTAATTTAATCGCTGATCGTTGAACTGATTAACAATGTATTTATAGCACTGATATCGATAGTATTCTATCAAGTGTAAGAAGGTGTATTTATAAACAATGGAAGTCATTGCGTCACATAATGCAAATTTCTTAAAAAGTGTTTAAACGAGGAAATCGAAGTGCATCCTGATCAAGATACTGTCCTCAATACACATACAAAACTTCTATTATCTTTGTATTTATTTCATTCTGGACTATACAGAAAGATTATTTTGATGAATACATTGTTTTTTTCCGATGCATTTAAAGTGCTAATCTTGGAATTATTGAACGCGGTTAAATGATCAAATATAGAGCATTTTGCAACGTTCAAATTATGGAAAACAACTCGTATTGCATAGACTGACTGTAGTGAAAAGAGCTGGTGAATTGATTTACAAGTAGACAGTATGTGATTTTGTTGATTAGCAATCGTTAATAATTTATATTTTGTGGGGCCAAGTCAGAGCACTACTCAAACGACTGAAAATATTATGTAAATTTTCTCACGAATAATTCTAGAGAGAAATTCGAGAATTATCATTGGTGCTTTCTTACTTGTAATTAGTGCCGAATTAGTGCTTTTGCAAGTCACAGATATAATCGATAGATTGCCATTTCCGCAATATAAATAAAGACGACTTTACATAAATGTAACATTGAGGACAAATATTTTTACATGTCCGTATTAAGCCAACATCTTATCTGCCGTTGACATACAAGTCCCTGCAGCGATTAGTAACAGCTTAGACAAGATAAGAGAAATAAAAAACAAATCTGACTTGGGTCTCGTTGTAGCCGAGCACGAATATTATAAAATCATTAATTAATCAACTTGCTGATTTGTTCAGTTGTCGCTGGTGTTTAATATAGGCAGAGACTTGAGGGGAAATCTCTGAATATCGGTACCTCGCCGATATAATTACTATATAGTGCAAACGGAATAATCATTAAGTATGCATTTATCTTCCTTGAAATGGATAAACGTTTTGCGTTAATAACTAATTAACACTTTTAACTATTACAATTAATACAAATTCGAGAGTGTGCCTTGGATAACCATTAAAGCCGTATGTAACGACAATTTATAAGAAATTGTTCAATAATTTCAATGAAAAATTGAACATTTCTCTTTGCTTAATAGTTGTGCCATTGAATAAAAATTAATTTTTTATTCAATGGTTGTGTATAGTAACACAATTGATACATTATACTACTTTTATATTGAACTCGTTTTATAAAGATTAGAATTTTTAGGGTATTTGGCACCATTTTAAGACGAGCCTGGCTTGATGGTACAGGGAAACATTTCAATTAAGCCGAACCGCAATCCTTTGTTTAGATAGTAAAAATTATAAGAAAATCATTTTGTGTAGGTGTCGGTTTCGCTACTCGAAAGGCGGGCAGCTTAGTTTCCCCGGTCGTTGAACTAACTAAATCTGGCGAATCGTACACGTTTACTTCAAACTCTACCTTCAAGAAGATTGAGTTTACTTTCAAAAACGGCGAGGAATTCGACCAGGAAACTCCAGATGGTAGAATGGTAAAGTCTACCATAAAGGTCGACGGCAACACCCTGCACGAAATTCAGAAGGATGCGAAGGGCGAGCAAACCGTAATAGATAGAATTTTCTCCGACGACGAACTAAAAATGGTAAGTGATGGACACGATAACCAATCCACCCGTGTACAAACCTTCACTTTCTTTCAGGAGTTGAAGTTCGGCAATGTCAGCGCCACAAGAGTCTACAAGATACACGCTTAAACGTCACGTGCCTTACAGCAACGAAGCCATATATTTAATACATTTCGTGCCATATAGCATCTTCCATTCGAAATGTGTCAAAATTATGTAGCTTTTACACTAATACTGTGCATGTTATGTTAAGCTTTTTGATACAGTAAATTACTTGTATATTTACCTTGAGTCCTTTTCCATGTCATAATTTGATATAGGCACTCGAATTTTGTAAATTGAATTCATAGGCGAAGTGTTCAGACGAGGTCATTTGTCTGGGAAGACCAAAACATTGGAATAATCCACTGTGACGTGTAATGTGCTTAGATGTCTGAAAACCCGCACTCTCTTTGAAGTAGATACACCTAGATCGGTTGCCGAACTCTGGAGTACTCGCTTTTTGGTAGTGCCGAGTACGTCTACACCCTCCGTAAATCACATTCGATTCAGCGCGCTAATTTGGCTCGGCAGAAGCTGGAAAATGTGAAGAATTGGTTTTTAGTCTATTTTTGGAAGATGCTATCACGACTGTTTTCGTTTATCTGTATCTAGGTATGTATAAAAGGCCGTTAGTCTGTTTTTGATGTCCAAACCTCTGGGTGAATCCATCCCAATCTGGCACGATACTGTGATCTCCAGCGATCCCATGTTCAAAGGTCTTATGTAGTGAAAGAGAAGAACCCGTCGGTACCCATAACCAATATTATAGGTTTGATTGCAGATATCTAATATCCGTAATGACACATCACATGTAGCAAACCCACGTGAACCGCCATGTAACTAAACTAGCTATAATTATTATAAAATGATAAGGTTTTGAATGAAATTGGTCTATCATAATAATTACAATTTTATTGTTCATTTAGTAGATAGGTAACATAAACAGCAGCTGGGAACAGGTAGTAGGTAGTACGACGGTAGTTATGTTCACGTCTAATGTTTGATTAATTTCTAAAAATTGGAGACATCGGCCAAAAGTTGCAATTTTTATCAAAATGTGGCCAGACAAAACCTTTGGCACATACGCGTAATAATTTAGAGACGATTATAAATTTTTGATTATTCGATATGTAATATTTTTTTAAGTAATGAAAAAACATGTTGGTACAGTAGGGGCGATATTAATATTATGTAGGTTAAAGGGATGCGTTCAATTATGGTCACATTTATTGTTTTACTTGCAGTTGAGGTAGGACTAAACATAATTGGGGAATTTGATGGATTACGTTAAACAAACGAACATGTACAGCGTACGTACCTAACATTAGAATTTCTTCATAATGACTCAAATTTTGTAACCTCAATATAACATCATAATAATAGCGATTACAGATTTACAGGCAATGTTAAATGTTATGTCACTATAATGAAAAAATAAAGAGAAGTGCAACATAGTTCAAAATTTTCGATTACAAATCTAATACCAGTACTAGTACCAATATTAATATTGTGCCACATAAAATATATTGAAAAGAAACGATAACCGAGACTATAACAAGATTTTAAAAATTGGATTGGCAAAGGAATATTGACATGAAGAGAAACATTTCTCATACAATTACAATGAATACAAAGTTTTTCGTTCCTTGATACCCTAAACAACTTAGTTTATTGCTCGTATACAGAATATCATGAAGGGACATTAGTACCTAGTGGTACCTAATAGTGGTAAATATTGCAGAAATATGTGCAATAATTGAAATATGTAGTAACATTTAAAGGCATTAGGCTACAATAATGATTTTAGTAGACAGACATATAACAAGAACTATTAACGTAGGTTCACATAGAATATTATTACAAAGGTTGTTCAATTGAAAGCGACATTGCTATAATTCCGTCATCTCACGAGAAGGATGAAGTGCGCGTGCCTCTATAGAGAGCCCAGAGTGCCGGGAATGCATGATAGCGTCGGAACGATTTTAAGTCCAGGCGGTGTCAAAGCGCGGTCGTGTAATTGTTAAAAGCATCTTCCGTGCACTCAAGAAATTTCTGAAGGGACAGCGATTTGTAGACGAGGTCCAAGCTGTCGTTGAAAGTTGGTTTTACAACCAACCCCGGAGCTCCTCCACCCAGGGCATCCATCGCGCCTCGTTTGCCGCTGGGACACTTGTTTCAATCTAAATGGTGACTTTGTCTAGCATATGTGTTACGTTTGTATTCTTTTGTATACTAATTTATATTAATATCATTAATCCATTTCTCAATTCGACTGTAGTGCTATTTTCATTTGAACTGCCCTTATAATATTTCATTTACACAGGGTGTACAACGACGAACAGTCTATGAGTATATGCGAAACCAATGTGACCATATTTCTAACAAATTCCTACAAAACGGAAGGTATTATACACAAAAAATGTAATAAAGTATTAAAGGAGTTTTCAAAAATCTGCAGACATTGGTTTTTCGTATTATATAGAATAGTAGACTATCTTCGGCGTTTAAACAACATGCAATGTAAGAAAAACCTGTCGCCTCATAACTTACTGTACCAATATGTTACTCGGGAATCGAAGTCGTGCGCTAGAGAGAATGATTCAATATTTAGGCAACGAACTCGTCATCTTCATCATCATAGCTGTCCTCTGTTCCTGGTTCACCCAAAGCGTTGACGAACTCTAAAAATGAAAATAACTGAGACTGCGAGGTTATGCCGACGTATAAAACATTTCAATACAAGAATTTCGACTAGTTTGCCGAATGCCCTTAACATACAGGTACAGTTTGTAGAGTAAAAGTCTTTTATTATGTTGAAATTCATCATTGTTCTTGGAGCAAAGATATTTTTACATGTTCGTCACTGATATTACGTAGAAACTTTTTTTAAATCCCAGCTTTGCTTATTTAATTAAATGAATAAAGAAAGATACTAGGCACGAATATATCAAGCCGCTATCGGGCACCTATCTAATCCCTTTCCCAACAACCGTTTGGATCCCTACTCCCTGGGTCACAGTCTACTGTACCTTATGGTATTGGAACTGCCATACTGGATTGTATGTAAGTACCTACCTACGTTATAGCTTAATGTGAAACCTTCAAATTTTAAAGATTCATAAGTTTACACTACAGCATTAATTGATTTCATTATAGCAGATGAGCTATCCTTTACGTAGCAGGTATAGAAATAAGGAGTGAATGTTTTAAATGACGTCCTCATTTAAAAAAAAACACACATGTTGTACAAGATGATCCTCTCGGACACAAGATCACTAATTTTGTCGCTTTGTTGAAGAAAACATCTATTTTCTTGTAAAAAATGAGAATACAAAAGAGTATTTCAAAACAAGGGCATCATTTATTATTTAAAGATATTGATCCTCTTACCATAAAAATCAATACGACCATCACCATCGGCATCAACTTCCTTAATCATGTCTTCAACTGAAATTGAATGAAAAATTACATCGGACCCGTAGAAGTACAACTTACTTTCTTCTTCCGACAAGTCCTCGCCAAGACATTGCAATACAGCTCTAAGATCAGAAGCAGTAATGTAACCTCTGTTGTGTTTGTCGAATACCCTAAACGCGTCCCTTAATTCTTTCTCTTCCTGTTCTCTTGAAACGATTGGATCGCGATCGGCTCCCGCACTAGCAGACCATGCGATATCAACGAATTCTTCAAAACTGACGTTTCCGTCACCTGAAATGCAGACTACTCAGAAGCCGTCCGCCGAAATTTTGAGTTACCGTCAACATCAACCTCCTGCAGCATCTGTTGCAGCTCCTCAGTTCTCGCAAACTGGCCTAAGGATCTCATTACCCGACCCAACTCTTCCTTGGTAATGCTACCGTCTCCATCCTTATCGAAGAGGCGAAAAGCCTCTCGAAATTCTGAAATATGACATAGAGATACATATGTAATAATAATAATAATGGTCTTTATTCCTCACCCTTCATGGAAGACCAAAAAGAAATCAAAAATTTGCAAAATCAATAATTATTGGCATATATAACGTTATAACCTTGCATGACTACAAATTAAATATCATGCCTAATACCTATAACCTAAACTAAATTCGGCGATGTTAAAAAAAAAGAAAAGTAACACATTACAGAACACATCGGAACAAATACTAAATCAATAAATCATGTTGCAACATTAAACAGATTTTGTCGCAGTTTCACTTTAAATAATCGAACCGGTAACGGTTTAAAAGTAACTGGATCAGTCCCTTGAAACGTAAATTGAGTGTATGAACATCCGTTCTAAATTTGAGTTTGTCAAACAAGTATGGTGGTGTTTTACCTATTTACAATAATTTATGTAAAAGAGTGCCATAGTTTAATAGCTTTCTGTTGTACATATTCAGTCAATTTGTATCTCCTAGCTTGTATGAAATTCGGTCTATTTTCTAATTAAATAAATGTATTTTAGAAACGAATTTTGTACTTTTTGTATTCTGTTGGCGAATTCTTTCGTGATAGCAGGCTCGTAAACTGGTGAACAGTAGTTGATTGGGGGACATCACAAGCGACTCACAAAGCATTACCTTTATGTGGATGGGTAAGGAATGTCTGTGGGGATAGAGGAGTTTAAGGTTCATATATGCTTTCAAAAAAATAACACGTTGGATTTAGCAGCAAACGCTCCGCCGAGAAAGTACATTGGAAAGAATGTAAAAGTTGCGTATCATATGCAAACATACGGATAGCACACGTTTTTAGACAATCTTTAAATTTGAACGGTATATAGTATAAAAAGGAGTGGGCCTAATATTGAACCTTGAGATACTCCTGCTGTTATGGCTCGAAAGTTGGACGATGCAGAATCTAAAATTACTTTCTGATAGCGATTTTGTAAGTAACTTCCTATCCAATATAACGGGCGATCAAAAATGAATTGCTGTCGACTGTCGAGTCGCCTTTGGAAGTTCAAAATAAGTATGATTTCCCATCTAAACAAAAATTCCAAAGGTGACTCGACAGCAACTCATTTTTGATTGCATTGTAGTTCAACATTTGTAGCATTGTAGTATGGTTTATTGTGAATAATAAAGTTACCTTTCATCTGACTCTTCGAAACTTCAGGATGTTTATTGATGACCTTCAGTAATACTTCGTCAGGTACTTTCCTAGACGATATAGATTTAATTTCCTCACCCTCCGTATGTAAGGATTTCTCTTCGATTACCTCGTTCTCATCCGAGCTCTCCTGACCGACGGTACTAGTCTGGCGCGTCTAAAAAAGGTTGACAAATAAATACGGCTTGTGTTGTCGCATCCTACCATCAGGTCTTTTAATTGTGTAACTAAAGGGGAAGACGAAAAAAAATTATTCACTGCGGAGAAAATCTTTCCCTCTAACTTCGCCACGTTTCAGCTTTTTATACTACTCTACCGGTGAAAAAAACTGCAACGAATTTATAAACGTTATTTAGGCGTTGCGAAAGAATTAGTGTCGCCGATTTTCGCGGTCACACTCGATAAATCTGGACACACGATGAGCTCTTACCTAAATTACGGACGTGGGTGAACAGTAGCAACTTCGATCGCTTCGGTGGAACTAAACACGAAACGGACCTACACTGCGCAGCTTTTCACGGGAGCTATTCAATTATGAAATTTTCCGCCAGCACACACTAGCTACCCATCTAGCTACCTACTTATTTCTTTTCAAAAAGGGAGGAAGTTCCAGAGATCGAGGAGGTGTGTTTTTATTCGTAGGTATATTTTGCACATACGAATCTAGCTTTTGGGTGGTTTCGTAGTTTAAATGTCTGGAGGTGCCCGAGTGTCAAAGTGTGGAGTTGGTGGAATTTCTCATTTTTGGTGCAAGTCAACTAACTGCTACCTTATAATAATCGTGACCGAAATTGAAAAAATGGAATCCATCGATTAATTTAAAAAGCGATGACCTTTTTTTCCAGAAATATAGCCACATTAGGCAAATGTTGATTGAAAGTCACGGGTGAAATATAAGTATGCTCTAAACCTAAGCAATCGCACCAGTGCGCTGACTTTGCCATTTGTTTAGTCATTGGTAGTAGTCGAACTGTGAAGCGCTATATAAGCTCTCATATCGCTATACCAAAAAAGGTTCCACAACTCAACAGTTGATGAGTGTTTTAAGTTGAATATACTTACACATTCGCGAGATAGTGCTTCGGCCGAGTCCATTTCGTAACTGGCCGACGAAGAGATTTTAAACAACTCTAAGAAACGTGCACGAGTCTTTTTCGACATATCTACTCACTGAAGTGAAACCTCTTTTATGAATCGATTTTTACAAATAACTGGTAAGTTACAATGGCTAGATTTACAAAAACCGCTTGTTTCAGTCTATTTCAAAGTTTAATTGCGGATAAGTGACTCGATAAACTAATCCGTTTCCTGTTTCATTTCGATTACGTGGCTTTCTTGATGATAGTAAAAGATTAATTAACATCAGGTGCATACATGACATAATGGGGTACCGACTTGCAAATTTAGTAACAGGGTATGTTCTAAACATCATCCAAGCATTGTATTATACAATGACCCAAAGTATATTTTTTGCGAAGAAATCCGCATGTGTTATTCAATTTCAAATGTAAGCGCACTTGACTATCAAATTTTACCCAAATTTACAAAAAAAGGGCTACTTTGGTTGTATTCATTTGAGGTATTGTGATAAATCAATCCTCACTAGAATTGTTATAGGTAGTTATTTCTATTTCTCTTTCTATCTTATGTCTATTTTTGAGTGGAGCAAGAAATGTGACAGGGCAAATCGATTCGTAACATTCATAACAGCTTTAGTTGTGACACAACCACAGCAATTAATAAATACTGAGAATGTTACATTAAAGGCAGAAGAACGTACGCGCGCATGGCGGCCCCCTCAAGGAACCTCAATCCTGACAGCCAGTCTTACAGGCATATAATCCTATCAAGTTTCTTATGGGATTCTCTTCCACAAAAATTGAAATGTTCAGTTTCATATCCTCCGCTAAAACTGAGGGTATCTTATGTGCATCGTATTTAAAAAAACCTTAATTTTAAAATGATCAATACAGAAAATAAACGGTTATCGGCACTATTCTAATTGACAATATCAACCTTTTCTTCTGTTGAATACATCGCACCCGAACGAAAATAAAAATACGGAAGCCAAAGGAATAATATTCAAATTTATTTATTTATAATTCATTTATTTTAAGAAGTTATTTTGGTTGCATAAAGTTAGGCGTCTTCAGAAGAGTTTTTTCATTTAAAAGTAGACATAAGGAAAACAATATACACGAATTCCTATGTCTATTGTTAAATGAATATCACTGTATAATGTGGTTTTCTGAGTGTGAGTCAATAAGTGGTGTAATGTGGTAAATAACTTGCAAACTCGCATAACCATGTTGTACACATCGACATATAAGATTTTTAAACCGCGTATTTGAGTCTACCACTAACCCTAAATCGCTATACGCTGTAATATTATTTTTTGCGCGATCGGTCGCTTCTGACTATAAAAAAAATAGGTATTTACCAGTTGCTATAAATACGACGGGTTGCATAATTTTAATTCCGATCGCGCAAAAAATGTTATAAACAGGTCGAACGTGCTCTATCTGATTATTATCATCTACCACATTCTCTAAAATCTTGAAAATTAGATAGCAATCTCCAATCTGCCATTCATGTGCACGCATTTGACGTTATTCACGCCTAAAAATATGACAAATTATAATTTTGAACAGGAAGATGTGAAAAATAAGTAAATTTTTGTATGTCATAACCATCATGCAGATTATCATTTAATGAACGCTTTACTCTGTGTTACATCCTTCCGATGTTAGAACGTACTTATATCTGTTATAGAAAACTAAATCAAAACAATAAAATTTAGGTCGATTTTTCAATAATGTATACCAGTTTGTATATAGTTTTTTTTACCAGCTATTTAAATTTATGTCAGTTTACAATGAACACGCAGTACGCACAAATTATCTATTAAAAAAATGAAGTTTATACAGTAAGAATAATAGTTATTTATTGTATAAGATAATAAAGGGATATTTTAACCATTGAGTGAAAATTCCTTAAAGAAAGAATTACTCACACGCACGTAAAACAAATTCGTAAGTGCTAAATAATTATGTTAGTATTCCCACAAACTCTTCTTTGACTTCTTTTGTCGTTGCCACATAGATTTTATTGTTGTGATTATACCAATTTTACCGTCATTGACCACCGGACATTTTTATAATGGAATCGATTGACTGCTTCCCGTAGTACTTTTCGGCGCTTCAAAGTTAAATTTTCTATTAAAGTGATCCCCGTATCTTTCAATATCTTCTTATTTTTAAATGCATTTGTCACGATTATGGCCGTTTGCACCGACAAATTTAAACGGAGCTTAGTTTAAGCGTAGCTTAAAATCCATGGCAACCATTGTCATATATATAAATACGGTGCGATCTATCCATGTCACAAGCCGATACCTGTAACTTCACAGTTGTTTGAAATAAATGCAACAGCATCTCATATGTTTTTGTATGCCAAACATCTTTAAACAGTTTCTTCGTGAATACTGTTCATTGCGGTCTATATCATAAGTACCTACGCTTGCAAATTCACTTTTTTGAGATTTAAATTCTGTGTTTCCAAAACATCAATTTTAGCAGAAAGACGCCTTAATTCCGATTGAAGATCTTTTAAGGTAATCTCCGATACACTATTGACCTTTTCTAGACGACTTCTCCACTGGTAAACAAGCCCTTGACTTTATCACTTAAGAGTCTTCCTTACCTAAGCGCAACTTTTTTACATTACACTGTGTATATTTTCTAATGTAGGTACACGTTTTCCGTTCTGTCCGTGTTTCACAGTACCTAATGTTTGGGTTTAGCTATACGTCTTGCTTTTATTTACATTCATTCGCCATTCGCCTACTTTTTTAGTGTTTTTACAATTATTTCAACCGAATCTGTTCTAAAGTTTGTCATATTTTCTTCTTTTTTTTGTATTTGTACATAGGTAGGTATAACAATTGCAAATTTTAGTTTTATACAAACCTGAAACGAATCTAATTATATTAAATTACAAATAATGACATTTGCGTAAATAATTATAAAACATTTAGCCAACAGTACTGTGGGTGCCATACTTTGCATTTAGCAATATTTTGTACCATTTGAGTTGTATCATGTATATGTATTTACGAGTATTAAACATTTTTTTATTATCGTTATTGGGTACATATTAAAAATCTGGTAAATTGTGTATAAACATAGATTGTGCTTACAAAATTTGTATAATAGTTTTTCATTTTTTAATTATGCGCCAATCATTAACAAGGTGCAAAAAAGCTTAACGAAGAGATTCCTCAAAATTAATGAAAAGTTGCTGTTTTACTTATGATTACACCAACTTTATAAACAATGGAGACGGATTGTGTTGCAGTTCTTAGCCATGTACCAGATATTTTTGTTCACCATACCTACCACGTATCGTTTTCTTATGGCTTATATACCTAACATTAAACGTTATCGTTATCGGTATTCAATTGTACAGAGACAATCTTGCAAATAGCGAAGGCATGACAGTAAAAGTGCAGCAAAGTGGATTTATAAGCTAGAGATATACGTATATAAAATTTACTCATGGCTAAGATCTACAAGTCAAATTGTTTCTACATAACGTTCCGTACGCATTAAAAATGATCAGAACCTCAAAAATGGATGGGTCTTGTCACGAATTTAAAAACTGTGGCATTATGTACAAAAATCTGACTGTCGCGCTTATCACTTAGAACAACAGTTTTGAAAGCTGAAGATAGCAATAATGCTTCCTTGTTGCGGAACGCTCCCGCGCAGTACCGCTGACGAAACTGGTCTCCTCAACATTTGGACTTTTTTGTTGGACTGTACGAAGGGGATTCCTAAAACGAAAACATTAGGTATATGCTTGAGATTTATGTGAGCATACTTACCAAATCGAGCTCGTCTAGCGATTCCAGTTTGGCTATCGGGGCTGATCTCTCCTCCTTTTCGGTTTCCCGATGCGAAATATCGACCCACGGATCTTGAATCTTATCGAAATCGAACGCTTTATTAAACGAAGCAAATCTGAAAAGAAAGCAATCACTTTAAGTACTTACACCTGGGTTGTGGCCGAGTCTCGAATAAGTACTTAGTTCTTTGAACTGAAATACTCGTTAATAGGTACTTTAGTTTTCGATTGCCGACTTCATTGAACTGTACGAAGGATATAGGTAAACGTAAACACGATTTACCTACCTGTGTAAAGCTTGGGAATGTTGCATCCTTGATGAAATTGGTTTTGGTTCGCTGACTGATCGCTGAAACGTGTACCTATTTTTACCAATATCAGAAGGCACGTTTTCATAGTCAGGAATCTGAAAGCATACCGATCAGCTGTTAGGTATGTATCTCTTCGCCTACCTCTTGCTTATCTGTGCTGTTCTTGGATCCGAATTGTGCTTGCAATAAATTTAAGATAACCTTAACGTCGCTAGCTAAATTTTGCTCTAAGGATTGAACTCTTCGCGTAAGTACGTCTAATTTATTGTTAATATGATCGAATTGGTTCCTACTTAAGACTAATAAATGTGAATCTAATGTGGAATGTTGATAAGAGGATTGTGCAACAAATCTTGCATTATCTATAGAAGGCGTAGTGCTGATGTTATCAGTTTGATCCGTGTTTCCTAAAGCTATGTCAGTCCTTTGTGTAATATATTCTTCAACCACAATAGGTGGTTGCTGAGTCAACGCTTGTTCTAATCTTTGCGATAAGTCATAGATTTGCTCTTGGGGACTTTTGTCCTGAGAATGGCCCGAGGCCTCTCCCCCAGTTTGTGGTGGACTCGGACTGTTGGTGTAGTAACTGGTACTACTTGATATCGGAATTGGAGCTGTGTTAGTAGCAGCTGTTTGCTGGTGCGTGGATGTTGTGGTGGCGTTATCTTGGCAAACTCCTACTGAAGATTGCCGGCGTATCGTTCGGATACGGTTGGTTGTTGGTGACGCCGTCGTAGCTGCAATAAGACAATCATTTGGCTATCACAACTACTTATACTTACAACGAGGATTTAACTGAAAATTGATGCACTTGTTAGGTGAGTGACAAATTTTTGTCAACGTCGTGCCTATCTAGATTACGATTTCTACAAGGAGTGATAACTAAAGGACTATGCTAGGGTACAACATTAGGATGAAATACTACGACAACGTGAGAAAAGCAAAAGCATTGTGTTATTGAGTCACTCAGAATGGTTGTTCTCTCACAATCATTACGAATCACCGTGTATTTTCTTTTTAACTTTACTGGCAAAACTTAGCTTTGGCAGTAAACAGTTAAAAAGAAAATTCTTATACGGTGAGTTATGCACATTGAGACGTTCAAATTGGGATCGCCCCATTTTATCTTATTCCGTCGTGACCCCGCCTTTGCAGTTAAGTGTCAAAGAGATATATGTATGTTCCCATCGTTAAGCAACGATTTTAAAGTGTTTAGTGTCATATCTAACAAGGCAATACAAATGTGGCATACATACACTTTGAATTTTTTAAAGATCTTGTGCAGTTGGTCACGTTTATAATGGGCAAGAAATCTTCCGTCACAGCGCTAGTCGTATCGGAACATTTCTCGCAAAAAAATAAAAATGAGGACACTTAACTTACCTATAAGAGGCTGGTGCATGCTTTTGTGTGACCTTAGATCTGGTATACTTCGTTTAAGTTGAGAAAACATGCCTAAACACATTCAACATTGTTTTATTTTTTATTTTTAACACAGTGCCTACCGTTTGGTCGCCATGTTAATCAATAAAATATAAAACGTTTAATAAGTTTCGAACAGTCATATCGAAAATGCATATGAAGCGAAATTTGTTACTAGCAGGGTTGATTAAGGTATTAACTGATTAAACATGGAATAGACGCAAAAAATACCGATAGTGTAATCTAGTATTTTCAGCTGGAAGCCCATGACATAATACAAACTTGTCTATGGTTACCTCAGAAGTGTGACTCAAACAAGAAAAAGTGCATCTAAGTCCGACCATTTTGTGATTTAATGGGAGGACATTACAGTGAGCTAATGAACAAAACAAATTATTTACCAGTGATTGAGTTTAGAGTGGTCGATCTCTTCTTCTCCTCGTAGTCCAAGTTCATCGGCGTCACATCTTGGCCCGCCTTCTCCGTAGTGAACTCCAAAATGCCGTGACCTGAACAATAATATTTCTCTAATTCAACGGGGGTTTTGGGTACGTCCGCGCGAAATGGTTCAAATTACCTGATTCCGACTCGTCGCTGTTTTGCGACTCCTGCCTACCACCCAGCGAAGTACCTCTACTGGAATGACCGTTAGATCTTGCGTTAAATCCACGAAAGAACCTACTCTCCCTATCGTGATTCCCGCGGTAGTAGCGAGCTTTTGGAACGACGCCCGCTTGTTCTTCCTAAAAGCGGTAGTATCAGTCAGAGGAATGCGGGGCTCTGAAAGGAGTGCACTTACGTCTCTTAAATTAAACGTAATCTCTAGGTTACTAATGAAATTATTATAAAATTCCGGATACAACTCCAGAACGTCGAGTAAATCTTCTCTGTGGATTTTATGTAGATCACAGTACGTTAACGCTCTAACATTACAACTGGACTTTCCTATAGTGGAATGAACACATGGATTCTCACCAAAAATATCAAATTTGCCTGTAATGTTGAACAATTAACGGTCTAATATTGTCAACGTTACCTACCTAAAATGGCCATCACAATATCATCATTTAAAATTTCTATTGAGCCTCTGGATATAAAATAAAGAGCCGTCAATACATCACCCTTATGCACAAGTGTGTCACCAGGTGGCGCGTGGGTTGTTTTAAATTTTAAAGTTAATGCCCTGAAACAAACTCAAATACAGCATCTCTTGTTTGTGTATAGGTAATTTTGTTATCGTTTGAACGTGTAATAGTTTTTTACATAATAAATCATGAAAGTGGTCGTTTACAACTTTACATGAGGCGGAGGCTTGTTGAAAAGTACGAGGACGCTACGAGTATCTCTGGCTCACTTTCATGACATATTTGAATTATGTGAAAAAACAAAATTAATTGATTATTCACTAATTAATTAATTCGCGATGTGTAAAACATTTAGTGCCAATACCTAAAAATTGACTCTGATTTTTTTTCAGAAAACAGAATCAAGATCATCAGTGAACGACGTATTAGTTACTCGTACATATTTTAAATTCTTTGTAATGAACTTTAGGAAAATAAAATATTTTTTATACTGATGATACCTATTTGGTTTTTAGAAATACACTTGTGTTGAGTGTGAAGTTGGTCACACATTCTCTACTTCTCTTAAAGAAGTCATAGTTGAATTATTGGACGTTTTTTAGCGGTCATTTTAACAATGGTTTTTTAAGACTCATTGTGAAGCAGAACAAATGCAGTACCGAACCCGAAAGAAATCTAACTTTATATTGCTACTTAAATCATTCATAATATTGCAGAAATATTTCTATTTTTGGAGTGGTAAATATATCTCGACCACAATGTCTTGACACATACTTATCAGAAATATTTCGAAAATGAGTTTCAGAAATATTGCAGGATATATTAATTCATGAAACGACATATTGGCATTTATAAATATTGCAGAAACATTTCAGAACTATTACCAATCTTTCATAGATACATTTCTGCAACATGTTTGAAGGATCATTGTGTTATATGGGTTGTCTATATTGCTTTGAAACAGTTTATTGGAATCCACTAACCTTAAACAACCCGGACTTGCACCGTCAAACACGGAACAATTCTGTAACAGGTTCCTATTAAGATGTAAACATATGTCCGCTTGCAAGCATTCTGGAAATCCCTTGAGCACCGAATTCATATCGATTCCATTTGTGTACGTCCACGCATGTTGGAAGTACTCCTCCAGGCGTTGTCGTAGTGGATTCGGAATTTGATGGAAACGTATGAATTCTCGCACCCTTAACATCTGGGTATGATATCGAGCTGTTCCAGAGTATAAGCGTTGTATTATAGCCGAAACGTTTCCAAATATGCTGGCATACATTAGGGCTAAAAGGAAAAAAATAGTACATTAATCTATTACCTAATCATAAGACAATTATGCAATCTGAAATGTTCAGGGGCACGAACAAGAGCTTTTACATTCTTATATAAATGAAAACCTGTTAATAATTAAAATTATTACAACAGAAAGCTTTTATGAAATTATATTTTCTGACTGTTATGATCCACGCGGGATCTTACAATGATAACTCGTGTAAGTATAGAGATTTTATAGGCATCACAATAGCTTATGTGTGTTTTTTGGATGAGTTCGTAAATGAACATATATAAAATGAAAGTATATAACAAAATTTACTTACAGCCAACTAACATAACGCATATGGTAAACATTTTCTCGGCATCCGTATTTGGAGCAACATTCCCAAATCCGACGCTAGTCAAAGAGGTGAAGGTAAAATACAGGGCCGTAACGTATCTACTTTTTATTGTGGGACCGCCTGTATTATTCGCGTAATAATGCTGCTGCGTGTTGTCAGCTAAAGTGTCTAACCATCCTATTTTGGCATGCAGTGCTGGTCTTTCCGCATTTCCGATAGCGTACCTGAAATTTAAGGACGATTGAGAAAATCACGTGCAAATAATCCGAAATACAATCATCCCCGTATTCGGGCATCTCAATATATTGGGCTTACCAAATGCATGCCAACCAGTGTGCGATCAGCACAAACGTGCCCATGAGTAACAGCAGAACGGCCGCCCCGTACTCAGAGTAGCGGTCAATTTTTCTAGCCACGCGTACTAGACGCAGTAATCTCGCCGTTTTTAATAAACCTATCAGGGTCGTCGCCTGAAACAAACAAAATGGCCGCAGTTAAGAGTTTGGAGGTTAACTAAATACAAATACAATTTAGATACTCCGGTGCAGGCGGCAAACTCAATAAAAAAAAAGGATTTTATTGTAAAAGCTAGTAATATCAGCGTATTTCCATGCGTAGAAAAGTAGCCTTTGAAAGGGCGGTATACCGCGTTATGCTCCTGTACGCAGCTTATTCTAGGCATAGACGTTAACATTCCCTTCTTTAAACTTTAAAATATCTCCTCAAATAAGAAATATAGCAATCAATCAAGCACTTTCTGAAAATAAAAATTGATTTATTTTGGCTATTTATCTGGCGCAAAGATCATACTAGACCATGGCGCCCAAGCAAACAATCACCAAGATTGTTCTTGGTATGGTTAGGAAATGCAAAAGAGAATAATATTTTAAAACTGTAAAAGTATTTATGATCTCAGACAGACGGAAGAACGAATTATATCGGGGTAGTTTTCAGTGTTTTTCCTTTGTAATTTTAAAAGATTGTAACGATTAGTGTATGTCTGTATGTCGTTCGTCTGGGCAAGTTTTGTTTAGTCCCATTTTTTGGCGCATTTCTCAAAAGGAAAATGAAGCTATTGTCCGCACTTTGTCCTTCTATCTGTCCGTATGTACGACTACTAGTGCTTAAGTTTAAGCTTTTTTCGTTGTGGTTTCTTTCTTATACGGTGTATCACAACCCCGACACCAGAACGACTAAAGGTTTTTCTTGGATTAGTCACTTCCTTCTCGAGTTTTTACTGATTCTGTGCAGGGAAAATGCGCTTTCGTCGGTCGCGAGTAACCAGTAACCACGTCATACTAGTTTTAAAATTTATATAAACATTTCCTACAAGATCAATAATTTAAATAAGTTGCGTTGTTTATTTGAGTTAGTGTTAGTTGGGTTTTGCATTTGGGTTAAATACGAGTGAATTGTTATAACGCGGCTTATTTCTGGGAAGAAAGATTTTGTATTTTTTAGATTGCGTGAATCTGTCACTGTAGTATACACTACATCGCATTACTCGTGTTTATTGTGTTTGGATCTGGATTCAAAGGGATTTTTGTGTTTTATCTATAAGTGTAATGTCTGGTCTATTATTGTGAATAGTTTTGTCTCTGAGTAGTGTCCTATTCCAGTATAATTTATGTGCGTTATTTTCACGTATTATTTGTGGAGTGTATTTGTTGCATCATTGAATCTAATGTAACTTTTGGTCCTCAAGATGTCTAAAAGAGGTCTGTATAACGAGCGTAGCCGGCTTCCAGGCTTTTTATTATACGGTGTGTTTATAAAGATACAATCCTTTTAGTACGTGAAGGTCGCTTGTTATACAGTGTGGTTGTTTCATTTACAAATGAACATTTCCTATCAATACAAAGTGTGTTTATGTTTTTTAATCCTTTACTCCATAGAGTTGTCGCGTCTCAATCCCGATTTACTCACGTGTATTTTATTGCAGCCAAGATAAACCTCAAAGAAAATAAGAACCGTTTCATGTTTTAATAAAGATTAGCAACTCAGTACTTATTCCTTTACTCTTTTACTTATTAGGCGCAGAAAAGGTTTAGTGACTGTGATAATCGCTATCGTTTGCCTACTAATTTTTGAAGTACTTACTTGTTCTCCATAAAGCGGACCGGAGCGCACACAAAATTGCGTTACGAATATATATATATATATATATATTCACCCTCTCACACACACCCTCACACACCTTTCATTCTAGTTCAATTCACCATTGATCAACCCAATATAACTATGCCCCGCCTTGTCAAATATTTAACAACAGATACAAGGGTACACAGCTTTTCCTGAACCGGACACCAGACCACCACTGTATGTACACTAAATCTACACTACTTCTACATGCTCCAATAGTTTCTAAAACAGCCACTTTTTGAATTTGTTCTGGAATTTCAAGGCTCAAGAACAGCTACCATTTCCGTTCGTTGTTCTTCTAGCCTAAAATGTGATCTTGTTTATCTTTAGCTTGATTGTCACTGTAAATTTAAATCATGTTTTCCCGAAATATACCGATTGCACTCATTGGAGTTGTCCTGTTTGATGATTTAACTATAAACGTATGTAGTCCGTTTCTCTCATCATTCTGACTTCCTTTAAAGAGGTAGCCACGTTATTCTTTAATTATATGCTAAAGCTGCTGTTTGCACAAAGGGGATAATGGTAATAGAACATATTGTAACAGATTCAAAGCCATTTGGTAATGAATTACAAAGCAGACTGCTTTTCGTTATTGTGAGGAATAGATACGTTTGCTAAAATAACAATAAGCGGTACTTGATTGCACAGCACATCAGCTAGTAACCAATAAGCTACCTAACTAAAGCGTGGTAAAGGCGTAATTACATTTTACATATTTGTGTTAACGTGTCAAAAGCGAGCAGAAGACAAAAATTATATAAACATTTGGCAGCGTATATAATTCTTGTCTGGAGATAAATTTTAAGATAATCTACCTCGTCTTTGTCCAAGCCCAACTAGAGAAAAAGAAGAAAAATCACGAATGAAAAAGATTAGAATAATGATGTTTAAACTAGATGAAAATGCGAAGAAGGTAACTTTTCTTCTCCCAAACACAAATAAAGGAATGATATAATACACTATATAATCTACAAGAAAATAGTTGATACATCCTTAGCACATTCACGTACTAATCACGACATAAAACATTGACTGTTTGCAATTTCTTTCGAACTCACCTCGTCCGTGTCACTTCCGAATAAGAGCAGGTCGAACGGAATCGCTGCTACCAGATCTATTAAAAACCATCCTTTTAGATAGTGTACGGCTATTCGGGCCGGGTGTGAGACTACCTCATCAGTTCCGCTTACGTATGTCGTCCTGAAGTTTATTAAAATATCGATGATGAACGTCACATCAACTGGAACAGAAACAGTTAGGTCTGAGGTCGACATCAAAAATAATTCGGGGAGAAGAAGGAAGAAGAGATAACTGCCTTCTTCGGTAGAAACTAGAAACTACTTACAATTAACATAAGTGTTCTAGCACAGACTAAAATAATGTTATGTGTGATAACGACTACACTAAGTACATATTAAATCGAATGACTACGCCAAAAACTCCTCCACATTTATTTTTCCGTAATATCATGGTAAAAAACTTACCTATCAAATCTATAAGTACGATAGGATCGTCGCCATACTTCTTCGACTTCTTGTTGTTGTAGTCTGACTCGCTGAGCAGAAAGGCAGCCACGTATGGCGTGCATATCGCCGTATATAGGACAAGAACCAGTATTAACCAATCCCAAGCGGCTTTAAAGGGCGAATAATGAAGAATGGTCCAATTGTGCAGCTTCGGATTTTGCAACTTATATTCCGGTAAGACATCAGCTCCCAAAGATAGCACCTGAAAAGGAAAAAGATACGATTAAATCATTAAAACGCAAAAACGAGCCATTTATTAAGGTTACCAGAGTTTAATTCAAAGCTTTGTATGACTCATCAATATACGGCTCTATAATAAACTTGCCTAAACGAGTGCGTTCTCTCCCAATACCACATCTGGCAAGGGATGCAGAAGTTTGAGTATAAATCTGATAACCATATACCACCAACCCGCTAAAATATACCTTATTGAAAACAATCAACCAGTAAATACCTGTCAGTAGGTTAGTTTTATGTATCCCCTATATTTTCAGGTATTATAACAAATTTAATTACGTGGTTTTATTTACTTACAATTAACGGGCACTAAATTTATAACAGTCTTAAAATGGATTAATTTATAACAGTTATTATTATTTATCACTTACAAAATGTAACTTAACACAAGCGCGTCGAAGTTGGATCTAAACTCGACACATTTTTTCTAGACTGTCCTCGAGTGTTCAAGGATACTTAATACGTCATATTTTTCTGAAATATTACGTCACAAGCGCCTTCCTTCTTTATCGCCGATGACTAACCTTTAATGGCACCTCGATGTCTATCGGGATTTTTGGAATATTCGCTACGATATTTTAAACTTGTGGAGTCCGACTTCTACTGAGCTGCCGAATCTCATATCGTTAATACAAGTAAATAAAATGTTCTCTCGGATCGCTTTTTGCATATGAAAAAGGTGTCTTTGGCTCGTATTCATTGTGAGAAGCTTTCACAAACGTATATGGTTTATAGTAGGTATGCTGCCAAATATGTTCCACTTACTAATCGCAATATTGATTAAAGTTTTGAATGAATGCACCGAAGGGTAGAAGATCTAACGTTTAAAGGCGCGGTTGCGCGTGCTTTAAAGACTTGATTATACATTTGTTTCTTAATATACTATTTGCGTACCTCATTAAAGTGAACATCTGAGGCGAATCCTTTATATTCGTTAGAATTAAAGTTTGATCTCGTTATGGATTTCTTCAACAAACAAAATTCCCCTATATAAGAATGATGTCGCGAAATAGAAACCCTCTAAACCTTGTTCATTGTCCCCCTTGTTCTGGAGCCGTAGGAAACAAAGTTCAGTATTAAAATTTCATTCCAACTGTTTCAATGTACGACTTTTATTAAACAAACTGTGTTTTAGGATTCATTAGTTCCATAAACCTCCTTTTATAAGCAATGAAGTGATCGACATTTATCAAACATCATTGACATGCAAAATATAAAAAAATGTTAAAGTTAAACCAAGTTTAAAATATGATTTATTAAGTCGAGAACAAAGACACAAGATGCATGCAAAGACACACAACACCAATCAACTCACGTCACCAATGTTTTTCATGTTATGTGTATTCTTGACGCCCTTGAAATCGGCACCCGTCAATGCGATCCCTCCAATTCCGTTGCATGGCTCGATCTTAACGACACTTTTTCGCGACTCGTTAAATCCTGTCCCTTTTATACGTACGCTCGACCACTTCGCCGGAACATTCATCAAATTTGAAACCGATCTGTTCCTCCCGAATTCATACTTAAGAGATCCGCCGAGTGTTTTACGATCCGCGTTTAATCGATATTGAGCATCGCTTAGTTTCCTATTATCCATGCTTTGTTTTCGTATGTTCGCCTCATCTCGCTTTGTCAATATTAGATGGATGCTATCCGATTTTTTACGTGCAGTCTCCGGACTCGAGTTAGTCGACGTTATTATTAGTGGGATGTCGGTTGGTTTCAAGTAGCGGTCTTCCATGGTTAAATTCTTGTTTCACTATGATTATAATAGTTACTCTATTGTATATTTTAACTAGCTTAGGAACTTCTGCAAAAATTCATCTCGGCAAAGTACGGGAAATACTGCACCCGACCGCATACCACTAAATCCAAACCGCGCGGCAAGCAATGAGTCGCTGGTTGCGGATTTATCTGTTTTCTCCTTTACCGGGGGTCATATTTGGTTCAATGCACATACCTAAACACATGTTAACTGTACAAAAAGTGTCAAGCTGTGACAACGAATAGATTTAAATACATTTACTACAAATTTTAGATTTCAGTTTATGAAATTGTCAAGGAGGTTCATGTAAAGAATGAAATCGATATCTACGGCCTACAGTACGGCATTATCAGTGCGCTGCTATAAATATAAGATACAACTATGCCTAAACTTTATCGTTGATATAAAGTGCCACCATATTATTAACGCAATGGATGGGAAAAGCTTTAGGGCCGGTTATTGATCGTTCAGAGGTTTTCTAAGTTCATTCCCAATTCATGGCGCAGCGCAGCTGTAATGTATAATTATTAAATACGACTAATACGTTCAAGGCGAGGTTTGGATCAGATGCAGAAAACCACGAGCACGTGGTGCAAGATACTAAACGTGTATACACGAGTAGACATCACGGTGATGGGTGAAAAATCGCCGTACAAGTTGGTGATGTCTAGATAGTAGTTTCCATTTTAGCTTATTTATAAATAATCTCATCTCTAACATAAATTCACTGTCAATTATTTATTTGCAACGCGTCTTGGAGATTAAAGGGGTTACTATATAAGTGGGTAAAAGTAAATAATGAATATTTTACCAGACGAATAAGGTCATACGTAAACTAATAAAAATAATATGCCGCCGTTTGTTGGCGATGTCAATATACTCTTATTCTTCAATGATAAATAATTTACAACTTTTTAAAATGTGTAAAAAAACCTACAGCGCACACAGCAATTAAAAACGGCGAACAATTCGCTTACTGGGTTTGGAAAGCTGTATTTGAATTAAAAGCTGAACAGGTGATTAGGGCATGCTGACAGAAGGTAATTTAGATTTCGATTCTGTGTGTAATTGTAATGACTCGATTTTATCAAAAATAATAAATGTGCCTTAACCTCACCACGATAACCACTCTGGGCTTTGTAATGATCTAATTGACAATGTTGAAATGCTGCTGCACCGATTTGTTATAAATAAGATATTGATTTCATATAGGCGTCACATATTTACGCGTTATATGCCTAATAATCTGACGTTTATCACTAACTAAGGTTTTGAACTTCTTACACACACACACTTAAGAATTGATCACCTCAGCAAATGTTTGCCGTCTAACGGACTAGTCGCGATTGGATTTATACATAATATATTTGTAGACATCGACAACTAAAAATCGATAGGTACAACGTTCACAAAAACAATAATGCAAGCTATTTTTCGTTTGTAGACCCACTAATTATTATCTTTCTATTATCGATTGAATATTTACTTCGTGTTTTGAGTCACACACAGATCGTCTGATAAAATTTACTATTTTCCAATAGAAAGGTTGAATAAATATGTCAACGCCTTAATGGACCAATATAAATTAGTTGTACCGCCTATTTATATTTTAATAGAAATATATTTTGCAGCCTTTTTCCCTTCGTGCAAAAATGGATTGTTCACCGTGGCAATTTGCAAACGACAATTTGTTTTAGTTTGAGCATACATGCACATAGGTACCTATTTTTACAGGAGTTTTTTAACCAAATGGTAGTGTGTCGTAAAATGCCAAACTAACCTTTACCCAACAAAATGCGACAAATTTGCCATTCTGAAGAAATAAAACTGCGAACTGATCCAGTGATTATACACAGTTGTAGAAGAGAAACGATTTTGTTGCTTCCTTTTTTTTATATATGTAATAGCAATTACTACAGTCACTGACTTACGAAGAATTTTCTTGTAGAATCATCTTTCGGTATTCATAACTTGCAGCACACGACACCTACCCCGTAAGTGGAAGTATACCTAATCCTTTGTATCTTGTTCTACGTGCTTAAAATAATCAATACTCACTACGGTGATAATAAATTACAATTACTCCCCCTGGAGCTTTTGCGAGTAAAACATTTTCATATTGCGTGACCGTGTACAGACAATTCTAACTAATCGAAACATTTTTAAATTTATTCATCTCTCCCATTCGTCAAGATCCCTTACAAGTGAAGTTTCCGATAATTAAATCTACTACAACATACCTCAGGGGCAACAAATGGCGTTTGCGAGTTGATCGCGTGCTCTATTCATAACAATGACAAAATAATCAATTGAGGAAGTACATCAATAAAGAAATTTTCAATATTCCTTTCCTCTCGAAAAACGGCACGGCAGCATGTTTTAAGACAAATGGTGACGTTTAGGGGACACTTGGCTTTAATTTTTGACGTATATGGACGCACTCAGAAATATCGGTTCGCTTCACAATGGACACGGAAACTAGCACCACGCGTGTGTCATCGGCCACCCACAGTCGACTAACGCAGACTCCCAGAATCCTAGAGCTGCTCCCGGAGTTTGTGCAAAGCTGCTGTGTAAAATTGAATAAAACGCGACCGTGGACGATTTTTCTGTATATAGCTCCTCAAAGAATGTCCCTTATTAAAATAAGTAAAAAGAAATTAGGCAATCTTTTTTAGGACAAAAGATGTGGGTAGGTAAAGCCATTGGGCTTGAAAAATTAAGTACATTGCGCTCTAAAAACGGTATGAAAAGCAGTAACATTTATGGCTGTGTGAATTCCGTTTGTTTAGATCTCAGCGCTTAGAACTGCTGCGGGGCATAGGACGACTTTTATTATATTTCAGATTTAACAAAATCACACGTGATGAAAAATTATGAAATCCGTACAATCAGTAAGTAGCGAGTATGCTTGTCGAAAAAACCACACAATGGATTATCGAAGGATACGACTGATATCTGGAATTTTGGTACCTAATCTTTGATATATTGGCCCTAAATTCGGGATCAAAGCTAACTTTTATACCAAGTCTCCGTTGCATTCACCGCACGGAATCACGGAGCGGGCCTGTGAGCAGACAGACATATGAACACAGACAAACGTACCACGAGAAAGCTACGTAATGAATTTTCGTAGTAGATAAAAAAATCTGTCACAAGTTATAAATTTACACTATGAGCATTCCGCGGATTTGCCGTGTTTTACGCTGCGCTGTCATGGATGATCCACAATGGTTCGTAACATCTAAATAAATCGCCACTTAAGAGTTGAATTTCTAGTATACCGTGGCAGTTCGTGGTAAAAATTTTAAACTGTTCTGCAAAATGCAGTTTCATTATAATAGGTGAGCTTTTTTGGGTTCAACTTGAAGACTTAAGGTACGATGTCAACGGTCACTTGAAAGCAGCTGCTGGATTCTGAATTTTCTATACGCTAAGAAATATTGGATTTTAGATTGTAAAATCATGCTCTTGAGAACCACTGTCAGTATAAATATTAAATAATCTAAGTGTGCGTTTTAGCATTAATTCTAATTGTGATCGTGCCAGTATCCTCAATGTTACCAAAGCTCCATGTATCCGTCCAGATTAAACGGTCTCACTCACCTGATGGTACCGTGACGTCGTCGCCATGGTTTGCGTTACCATATAAGGTTCTTTTCTTTTTCCAGTACCTAATTGAAATGTTATATGTAAGCGTGAATCTTTTGCTGTGCTTTTGATGAACTGTCGCTGGGGATAAAATTTTAATCTTTCGTCCGCGATACGCGATATAAAATATAAGGTAAAATTTGCGTCGTTAACATAGTCGACTTGATTGAAGGCATTACTAAAAATAGGAGAAATTGTCGTGAGGAAATCAAATAAAATCTTGGCAACGATTTAATAATTGTGTCCTTCAGAATTGTGCATAGGGATTAGAAGTAACTTGCCTTTTTGACATTTTCAGCGACAAATGTTTGGCGCCTCCTTGTCGATTCGGTGTATAATTTACGGCGCGTGATGTTAGTTATGCTCTCGAACTTCAAATTGTTATTATTATTGAGCTTCTCCTCGCACGAGTGGTCCACCCTAATTGCATTCTGGTTATCGCACCCATTGGCATTGTTTACGAAACTGAAGTAAAAGTTTTCCTCACTCTGATCCGAACCATTTTTCGTGTAATTGTCGAGGCTTGTGTTAAACTTGTTAGGACCCATTGATCTTTGCCGACTTATTACAGGTTCACTTGTACACACCACCTTGTAGTTATGGTAGCAAGATTTGCACTTTTTGTTAGATTTGGAACACCTATACCTCGGAAGGTTAGTGTAGACGCTTGTTTTTTTAGAGTTATCCGAATTGTCGAGTCGGCAAATCTCAAAATCGTTTATAACGTTTTTAATGATATTTATTTTCGCGCCGTTTTGAAAATTTGATTTCAGAAAAGCGTCATCTTCCATGTTTAAGTTTTGTATTAACATTTTGGCATGGTAGGCATGTTTCTCTTAACGTAGTAATAACCGACATTCACGGTGTAGATGGTAATGCGGTAATGCCAAATCTGCGATGAAATTTTATCGTTTCACCAAACGTCTGGAAAACGCGTGCATCTCACATCCTTGTCGCGCGTATTCGTTCATAGTTGGATACTAAACAAAGGCAGCCTGCAAGTTGCACGAATATTTTCGTGGATCAATTTTAGATATAAGAAATCCAGTGGTCCTCAACAACCTTATTAACTATTAACTAACCTTTATTATAATGGATTAATCATCCTAAGCTCTTATAAAGAATTTTGAGCACTGTCGCATGGCAAATGTGCTAATAACTGGATCGCACGAATGCTCCTGTTTGTGGGGTAGAGAAAAATTAGTATATTACCGCAGTACATGAATAATGAAACACCTTTTCCATATGAGAGTTGGTTTTGTACACAACAAATTTCCTTCAAGCATGACATTTATATTGTAGACATTCTACAACGAATTGTCTACTATCGGAAGCTATACGTTTTTTAATACATGCGTAAAACTCACTAATTCACATGATGCAAAATATAGAAGTAATTTCGAATGATATGGCGACCCCTTACATTCATAATTAAAACTTATTCTCTACATACTTCCACGGAATCAGTCTGCCTGCAATTCATCTGATACAATGAATCAATACGGGTTTGTCATGATTTATGGAAGCATTTTAAGTTTATAACGTAACTGTTTCAGAATTCCTGGCTTATGATGGTAGGAGTGGTGCATTTCGTTTGCTAGAGGTCGAGAGAAATAAGGGTGAAATAATCCATAATGCAAAGAAATTTTATCATACACGATACTCCCCTGTCAAGGTTGTTGATAAACGCACAGCTCGAATTTATGCGATATGAACACGTACCACCCGCCAACAACCGTTCAGTTATCAATCGACGGAAATAATTATCGATTGTCGTTCCGAAAACTCGTAGTGACCCTGTTTTTGTCTAAAATGCAATTAATCAAATGTTGAAACCTTCAGTGCAGCGGAAACCTGGTTGGTACAATAGTTGACGACGTTTTAAGACAATCTCGCGCTACTTATGTTTCTTGCATATTGAAGTAGAATGGTAGTGTGTAGAATCAATTCTCCGAGATTGCTTCGGTCCGCGATTAACCTAGATAGTACCGATCGTTACTATGGGAATGATAGATAGTGGCTTTATCTTGATCGAGATTCAATTGAAACGTCTCGTAAATTTGTAGAAGCGTAAAGGCCATCGTACTGGTCTGTACACTTATGGATTCTAAAATATAGTTTAGTAAATAAACAGCATCTTATAAAGCAAACGGGACAGGCCAATTGTTTTTAGGATTTAAATCTGGCCTAGGCCTTACCTAATATGTAACAACTGTTTAAAAATTGATACAGTATGTACAGGAATTTATGTTGCAGTTTTGAACAAGTTAACGGTGTAGTATGGCACTACATGCTCTTGTGAGATCCATACCTACTATCCAAGGTCACAAAAAGTTTTTCATAGTTGCCATTGACAGTGAGCGCAACACCTTGCCTATCTTCAAGGGACGATGTTATCGTTAGACCAAAATTCCCACCATAATGACTTTTGCGGAGTAAATATTCACATAATGTACCTTGTGTACTTTTGTCGCTCGAAATCTGTTTGCTTGTTTAAAAATCCGCGTGACCGGGAATGAGCCTCATCAGTCATCATTTAACATATTTTCTTCCCGAAGTCAGAGCCAGTCGCCAATTGCTCTAAAGTTTAATCAGTGAATATCCGACGCTCTCTGTGGCTTTTGGCCTTTATATATGAGCCTAGTTGAACATTCTATGGGATAAGGGTCAGTCTCGACACAAAATCCGGCACAAACAGATCAAGCTCTTGCGTACGACACGTGGCATTTCCTCATACAATGTCCCACACGGAAACAATACACTTAACGAGATTTTCTACGAAGCTCACGGAGAGTGGGGCGATCAAAGCACTTTGATAATAAATTTTAAAAATTTCAACGCGTTGTTCAATTGCATAATATACCATTGTGACAAATGTCAGGACTAAAGTATTCTCGTAAAATTTGACAGCTTGAAACTGTGAAATTCAAGCGTACTTATGCAAAAACCCTTTATTTGAAATAATTTCATAGCAGTGGTGATACCACCAATATGAAGTTATTATTGTCAATCTCACATTTCTAAAAATCTAAAATCTATCTCACTCATACATTCTACAAAGCCGTTATTTGTAAAATACCTTCAAGCTGTAGGATACTCTGGGTTTATGAAGCCGAAATTACCAAATAAACTTACCTGTGCGACTTTCTCCCCCATTTTCGGCGTGTGGATGCCACTTTGAAAGTATTTTGCGGAGCCATTGTCTTGAATGGAAAACTACAAACAGAAAAGTTAGTTGTTTACTCGAGCGTAATACGATTGTCTAGACAAATACTTAAGTATAAATCGCGTAGATTCGGCAATGCCAAGAAACTACGAGGACAGTAAAAACGTCTTACGGATGATTAAGCACGAAAGATAAATTGGGGTTAATTGGTCGCGTAGTTTTATCAATTTAACTTTTCTGATGCCAGATATAAGAAATACTACACTTTTTTTCATTAAATGGAATCTTTTTCGAATCTAATGAAATCAGTTAGATAGCATGATTATCAGGTATTAAGGATTATTACGCCATTGTACAGTGCTATACAAAATACTCCTTAAAAAATCCAACTTCAAAAGTGCGTTCTTACTTATCTTTATATGTATATAAAATTATTGTGTAGTATGTTTGTGAGTGAACTCCTAAACGAATGGACGGATTTTGATGAATTTTTTTATGCGTCTCTGTGTGTCTCCGGGTGGTTTAGATTCACAATTGGGCCCTATCGGATTATAGGATTTTTTAAAAACTTCTTTTTTTGTTGATGTTGCACCTGTTGTTTCGGGTACCGATCGGTATATGCGCCAAGTCACTTGCATCGTACCGTTCCAATTTTACATTCTGTACGCTGGGTTTCCGTTATAATATATCGAGGATACGAAGTCGCGGGGGAAAATCTAGTTGTGGGTATGGATGCATAAACCCAAAATCTTCTCTATTAATAAATTAATTTTAATGAAAATACAAGAATCTGCCATTTAAGATGATTTAATTGTAAGACCTGAATGTTGATATATGCCCAGAATATTGTTAAAGTTATACACACAAACTCTTTGATTTTTATACAGCATGATTTCCAGGATGTAAATGTTGTCTTGAACACTAAATATACCATCAAAACTAGAGTTTTTACAATGCAGTATCCACAATTATACAAAGTTTGCTACCAAACTACGTTCTTTAAACCTGTTGTTTTCAAAGAATAAAATTTTTTTCCCGGCTGTCGATATGCACGTGCGTACGTTGGCAATTTTCCGAGGTAACGGCTCGGCGGATTTGGTTCAAATTTTGGATACGTATATTAAGCATACGGAAACGAAAAATAACGGACCGGATTTTTGAAAAAAATTTGGGAGCACCGCAACGGCATCGAACTTTTTTTTCAAAAAGAAATTTAAAAGTTTTATTAAGGTGTTAGAAAGACCCTATTTTTCTGTGTGCACCATACAAAAATTGTGATAGGGTTTATTACAAAAAAACAGAAAAAAATGTCAAAGTTAGAAAACAAAATTTTTTTAAATTAATTCTAATTATATATTGCCTTGTAACATTAAAATCAAAAAAATATATTAAAGCAATAGATAAACATGGGCAAAAATTTAAAACAAGTTAAAAACGTGGTCACTCACGACCGACGAAAGTGCATTTGCCCCGCACAGAATCATAATAACTCGTGAAGGAAATGACCAATCCAAATATACTTTTGTCGTTCTGGTCTCTGGGCTGTACTGCACCGCAACGACAACAAAACGCTTAAACTGGGACAGTAGTAGTGGTACAGACGGGCAGACGGACAAAGTGCAGATAATAGCGTTTATTTTCCTTTTGGAAAATGCGCTAAAAAAAAGAGGTGTGCCCAAGCGATCACCCATCCAAGTACTGACCGGGCCCGACGTTGCTCTACTTAGCTGATTGGACGAGAACCGGTGTTTTCAATGTGGTATGGCCGTTGCCAGGAAAAATATTTTTCTAAGGGTAACAATTGCAGAATCTTTTTGTTAAAAAAAAGAGCACAAGAAAAAGATGTTCGCGATTTGGAGATTTGGGCACATTTTAAAAGACCGGAAAGTACATCAAGATTACATAAGGAAAATGCGTTGAGTCGTATGTTAAGGCAGAGATGCACAAAACAATAAAAGGAATCCAAAACGAAGCAATTTTCAATTATGTACCAATAAAAAATTTACCGTTTAAGGTATAACATTCAAATTACATTGAATTCATATGGGAATTTGAACAATTTAGTGATAAAACGGTACATACAACAAATTAATATGACCTTTGGCAGTGTATATTAGGCACAAAGGATGTAAGACTGTCAAAAACGTTTTTTTTTGTTTGTGAAATATTTGCTTAGAACTAGTATAATAATATAATATAATAATATTACATAATGAAATTTAAAAGAAAAACCCAAATTAAGAAAAACAATTTATGTTAATTTTATAATTTTACTAGCATGCGTTGAAAAAAAAACGTTAATCTTTTGTTAGTTTTATTCATTCATGATGTGAAAAATTATTAAAAAATTGCAACAAATCTACAAACAGTGGGGTGCAGTTACAATTCATATTGATAGTTGATATTATTACAAAGGAAAATTAATTTTTTAAATTGTTTATAAATCAAGAGTTCTCCATCATTTTTGTTATGGAGTATAATAATGTTTCTTACGTTTCTATATCCAAAAAAGTATGCACTTTGAGGACATGTAATAAAAGATAGTGGCTGCTATTAAAATATATGTCCCCCGCCCCTGGCTCTGGAGACGTACGCCACTGGCTACAATCGATTTTTAAAGTATGTAGATTGGAAGCAAACGTTTTACAATTTTTGGTACCATAAAAAACTTCTTAAAAAATGTTGCTTTGAAGATATATTCAGTGTTCAAGACAAAATTTCCACCCTGTAGATTGCAAGGACTCATTTTCGAGTTGTGTAAATACGAATTTTTCATTAAAGAAGGTTGATATAACATCACCTTCCACGAATCTGCACCTCTCCTGATATTACAAATTGGGTCGCTATCTTATAAACGGGCCTAATTTCATATCTGAGAAGATCGATGTTGCGCTATTCCTTTGATCAGTACGTAGATCAAGTAGTAGCCGTGACGAAACCAGCAGCTCATTGATTCTCAATCGTTAACCAAATTTCAGGCCAAATTTAGTTTCATACGGTACCGGTTTCATCCCCAAATGGTAAATAAATCGTCATCTTCTTAACAACCGAATTTGTCTGTTGAAACTTCTCTCAAGCAAGAAGTCTTCAACATGGTCCATATGTGTCTTGATATGAATTCACTACTAAAAAACGTAGTGATGGCGATTCACCTTTCTTGTCGGTGATCGTGACTAAATCTGCGCTATAAAATACACTCGCATTGTAAGAATTCACGACTGTATGCGCATATGCCTCTCGAAAGTCGAAACAAGAAATCAAACGAGCGCTTACAGAAAGTAACTACGTTCACATGGGCATGCTTCGTTTAGGTGCCCCTTCCCTTCAAATGATTGAAATGTTAACTTATTTCAGTCACGATGAAACGTGTGCCACAATGGTCTAGTGGCTAGGATACCTGGTTTGCACGTGGGCGCTCCTGGTGCGATTCTTTGATAGGTACGACATTTCCCAATTTAGCGGAGTTGAACCCCTTTCAGTTACAATCATTATTTGAAAATTACTCGTTCGTAACGATCATTCTCTCAGAGGTTATTGTATGTGGCCACGTGGCTTAAGTTGAGGTCACCATAATTGTGTCTGAATAGTTTAATTAGTTTAATGATCTTTAGTGCTTTAAAGTTGCTAACACTGTAATAAAAATAGTATCGTGGGTATGGATAGTGACTTTTATTATTTTGAATTTGAGGAGAAAAATCAAGATCACTTTCATATTAAAAAAGGATACCTAACTGTTTAGTTGTATTTATTTAGTTAATTTTTTTTAAGAATGAGTATTTGAAGTTTATCCAAATATGAAAAGTTTATAAAATAATATAATAATAATCACCAAACTTCACAAAACTATAAAAAGAGATATACCAGTATAAAATATGAAGAAATTATGTCTTACAGAAACTCTCTGAAAGTCAAGAAAAGTTACAGCGTTGCCGTCGTGGTACGGTATACTAATCATCATGACGTTTCTTATTAACCGTTTAATTTCAATTTGAACTTACAATAATAATCTAAACATTTATTTAGATCATTCCTATGTTATTAAAATTTGCTTAAAAATGATGTCGTATAAAATGTAACAAGTTCGCTGTCTGCAATATTGTTGACACGCTTTAAATGGCGTTAACGTATTAATTCTTTAATGTCAGCTTCCTTTCAATGCTTCAAAGATACCTACCTGTTCAGTAATCATTATAGTTACAGGTTTACTTGAAATGTCAAAATAACAATGAGATCCTTGAAAATCAGTCATGGTCATGACTTATTTTATCAGGTTATAAAACTCTTTAATCTTCTGATTATGTTCCTTTCTGCATAGGTACCACTTATTATTACAGTTTTTTTTTAATCTGCTTGTACTAAATTAATATAGTACGCTCTTATACAGTGCCATATAATTACATGCTTCAATTTTACCCTTGGATTTTATACCCAAGCACACAAGCATGTTGGAAACGTTATATTTTCAAAGGTGTAAATCTTGAAGCACGTACGTACATAACGAGTGATCAACGTTAGCATTTGGCCCTAAGATATGGTGACTTGTGTAATTCGCTTGGCATTTCCTGGTGCTTCATGCTGCATCTCAGCTCACCTTCTGTTTTGTTGAATCCGTTGGATTGCTCAAACTTGGACTTTTTCTATCATGGGAATGTGTAGCACGATACTTTTGTATGTCACTTTCGGAAGAGACGTTAGGAAATTGATTGACAACTTGCGGTTTCGCTTCTGAAAAAAGATATGGGATGAGACTAAGGAAACTAGAATATAATCTGAAAATTTATTTTTTGTGAAATCGTGCACGGCCATCTCTATCCGCCTGTCCAATTGTGTGCATTTCCATCTGTCTGTGTCTTTGTTTGTCTGTCTGTATGTCCGCCTGTGATTGTGGATCTTGTGTTCTGTCATTGTCCAGTAGTTTTTTAGTACTGTTGCTCGGATATTAAGTTCGTAGATGAACATAATGGAAAAACCTGACTCCTGCATTGCTGCAATTCGCTTATTAACGGCTAACGCTATAATAGCAGAGAAACCATTTGACGTTTCTTTGAACGCAATTTTGAACTTAATATAAAAATCTTATTTTTCTGCTAACAACCTACAAAAATTATGCCAGACTTAATACTAAATATAAAATACAAAAAAAAACTGAAAAAAATGTCAAAGTTAAAAACTAAAATATTGTTTGTCGGCAAAACGGTTACTTTGCTTTAGTTGAAATTTTGCAAATGTACATTAGGCATAAAGGATGCAAGACTGTCAATAACGTTTTTTATACCTATTTGAGTTTTTAGCAAAGGACGTCATACAACTTTTTTTCAAACAGTAACCCACAATTTTTTATTAAATTATTTAAAAGAGATTATTTTTCTTTGGTTAACCTAAAAAAATTGGGATACGTTTTACTACAATAAACGGGAAAAAATGTTAAATTACCCAAAATCCAGCAGCTTAGTGCGCGGTTAATATTTAGGACGTGATTACTTGCGAAGTTGATTTATTTTTAGTTTTAATGCGGCGAACTTAAACATAAAATTTCAATATGTTAAAATATCAGTGTACTCTCTGTATCTATATGTGTATATAATGCAGTTTTTTATCATGATTACATTAAAAAATTTACTAGTTCAAATAAATAAAAAGACAACGGGCAGTGTTCGAGTGGTTACCCGTCCAAATACTAACTACTACTAGAGTAAACATAGCAGCATACAACAAATTAGAGACTAGCGGGTAGTATCGATACATTATTACATACTAAAAGTCCCATTTGTTAAACTTATGGCGAGTAAGGAAAAAATGGCAGCCGTCTTGAATATGTCTATATTTACCATATTTATTTTTGTGAAGGAATGAAAAATACACTCTACTCCATCAACAGTTTTTTGTTTTTTTAATTGTGTTATATATATATATATACAGTCGGCACAGTTCCTAGCTTTCTAATTAGGTAGTTGTACAGTGACAGAAGACGGTTAAATTATCAAAATTGTGTAGTTTTTCCCTACTGAATCCGAATCTTTAACTAAAAAACAAAACAATATCGCATTTTGCAGATAATATCCAAACATGCGACTTTTTTACATGGCATATATTACCATGTATATTATTACCTCGTATGACAGCTTATTACATTTTATACAAAATTTCTTAATGCACCATAGCCAAAATATATTAATTAACTAAGATTTTTCAATTATTTTCATTTCTATCTGGTTATGAATCGAGTAATGAATGAGTAGAAACGTAACAATTAGATACTTTTACTAGGAAATTAAGAAGGTGTTCAAAAACGTTTCCATTTCTTTTAGTATATTTTTTAGACCTTTTTAACACCGAATTGTGGAAGCTTTGGATGTCATTTTGTCGTCAATTGATATCATAGTATTATATATATAAAATAAAAATCCGATACAACTGAATACCGAAGGATCCTCGAGATCTTCGCACATACATCATAGCATACAGCATACCTTGCAAAACAAATTTTTGAATCGGCCTTAGTTTTACTTTTATTCGAGGTCCGTATATACAAAATTTCATTTAAATATTTGAACAAATAAATAATTTGAAATAGCGCATACGAAAAACAAATTTTTTGATTCGGCATTAATTTAACTTTTCTTCGAGATACATACATACAAAATTTCATGTCATGCGGTTCATAACTAACGGATTACGCATGCGCAAACCAATTTTTTTACCGACATCAGTTTTACTTTTATTTGAGGTGCCTACATACAAAATTTCATTTACCTAAATATCTAATAGATAAAAAAAATTTGGATTGCGCAAAAACAAAAGTTGAGTTGCGCATGCGCAACTTTTTAAAACTGCATAGTTACCTGAGGTTTAAGGAATATTTACTAACACAGAAAACCGGACATTCATATGTTCTTTGTGACAAGAATTATAAAAGAAACCCTTTTTTGGAGTTTGGGCAGTTTTTGGGTTGTAACTTTCTGGCCCGTTAAGTCTACGTAGCCGAAAAACAATAGCGACCTCCTGAACAGACGGACAGACAGACGGACGAACAGACAGACGGACGGATAGACGGACGGACACACAGACGGACGGATAGACGGACGGACGCACGGACACACGGTCAGACAGACAACAATACAAAATTATAAACGATCTCGAAGTTCGTTAATAAATCGATGACGTTGTTGTATTGCGCTTATATAGTTATTTTCTTACACAGCCCATTGCGCGGCGCCCCATCTTGTTGGAAGTTCATAACTCTTCGACTTTGCAAACTAATATTACCCAAAAAGTTCTCTAAACAGTTTGCCATTAAGTGAACTAATGCAGTTTTTGACGTGGAGAATACAGAAATAACAGATTTATTGTACAGACGTTTGTAAATATAACTGTAACTTTTTTAACTTTAGACCTACAATTACAATATTTTGGTACAAAAATATGCGCACGTTTAAGCTCTAAAAACTATGTACCTATATAATTTTTTGGACTTAAATACATAAATAAATGATTGTCTAAAAAAAAAGATGGTGGATATTTTTTTAAATATTTACCATAGTGGGATTGAATGGCACTTTTAGTATGTTAATAAGAAGGATGTTCCTTACACATTATAGAAGCTTGTCTCTAATTTGTTCCACCCTATAAGACCGATATTGCCTGTACTAAACCGGGCGCATCGTTGCTTGACTTTAGACAATAACTTAATGATTAGTAATAAACACAAACAAAAGTGAAAAACCGCGCTCTTTTTGGTTTGAGCTATAAAGCTGTTCTGGCAAAAATTTGGCACCTGGTTTTAGCGGGGGTTGTAGGAGAGATCTTTCTTAACATCTGTATTAACTTTAAATCCAGCTCCTCATCTTCCCGTGGGCTACACTATGGGGATTAGTAACAATCCTTTCAGAGTTTGCGGCTATACTTGCACAGAACTAATTAAAAAAAGAAAGATAATTAGCCATACTTACGTGAACTTAGCGGAGGATATCCACTTTTGAAGCACTGCCTTCGCGCGATCGCGTCTAAGCTGGTCGCGTGGGTTACTTTGTTTCCTATGCTTGCCCTAAAATTTAAAAAAAAGGTAATCATAAATGTATATCTGGCATTACAATTTCGAAAGATGAACAAATCTTTTTATTTTATAGACTCTTTTAATTTTGCTGCAATCTTAAAGTTCCTTTAAACGTTTAGTTAAGATAGCTTATTTATGGGCTTAGAGTGTTTCACCAAGCCAAGTAGCTTGACTTTAAATATAATATAAGCTTATTGGCTTGGCTTAGAAACCAAGCTTTTTATAATTAGGAAGCTTGATTTGGCTTGATTTTCATAAATAAAAGCTTGGCTTGGTATGCAAGCTTTTTGGCGCTTGAGCAAGCTTTTAAATACCGAGCTCCCCTTCAAATATCTGAGTAGACTTCTCTTATTATCATCTTTCAAATCACGTGTTATGAAGGTGTTACGATAGTAATTGATGAAAGCAACGATGATCTTGTTCCTATACAAAAAACTTTTCCATACTTTTTTCGTTAGGCCGCTAGTGTTCTAGAAATTGCTTTGAAATGGAAGTCCTTCTTGCCACAGTTTTTTTTTATAAAATGCATACTTTTCCTTTTGTCTAAACAAATGTTTCATTGTGAAAAAAGCGAGTGTTTAGGAAAAAGCATAACCGTCTCGTTCAACTCCAACTTTTGACCTTGCAGATTATATGTTTTTAGTATCTAGAACGCCCTGTGACTGGTGATATAAAATATTAACACAAACTAACCACAATCTGTTTTTTTACAGAATACTCTGTCTCGCGCCCTTTTGTCCTCCCGTCCTTATGTCCGCGCGCCCTTATGTCTCGCGCCCTTTCGGCGGCGCCCTAACGTCCGGCTCCGACCAATTAATAATAGCACCAAATAGTTACACAACTGGGAAATATTGAACCAGACACGATCAGTAATAGATAAAAGGTCTGGTGCCATTCCTTCAAGATCCCTGATTCCAGAGATGTCGCGGGTGTGGGCTGCTGGGGTTTTCCAAGGCCTCTTCAACGATAGAACGGAAATTGAAGGGCGGATAAAATGGAACGGAAAAAATGAAACCACGTTTTTGAGGGGCAAAAGTACTACTCCAGAATATTGGCTACGTAGATTTCAACATAAGCCTTATCATACCGCGAAGTTACCTATGTCCGAGGAAAAACCCGTGATAACACCCCCGACAGACAAACCGTACTAGAAAAAGCTATCGGCCTCAGTGGCACTGTTGGGAATATTACAACAAGCGATGGGGGTTTTGTAATGAGCTTTTCACTTTCACTTCACTTCCCCCACAAAAGTAGATGGCCAGAAAATAAACCCCTAAAGAGAATCTAAAAGAGCGACAGAGCACCTCGGTGTGACCCTACGGGGTTATTGGATTTGACCCATTTTCAATAGGCTTATTACATGTGGCATATAGGTCAACTGTGCAAAGTTTGAACCGAATAGTTCAAGCGTTTGGCAGAGACAGAGAGGCATGACTCATTTTCAATAGGCTTTGAACCAAATCGATCCAAGCGTTTGACAGTTATCGTGTTCACGGACGGACGGACAGACGGACACCATCACTCTCCTATTATAAAGCTTGCATCTGGTCTGCCGTTTAATAAAGCCAAGAAGACATGAACAAGATACGAAAAGTCGCATACGCTTTTCAGTAGGTAGGAAATTTTTTTCCACTCAGTTCGCATTCGGAAACACCAGACTTTTAATGCGGATCATATTCAATGCCACTGATCCTTGAACACGCAGAAATCGATTTGCGAAGGTATAATATATGTCTCTTTTTGTACTCGATTTCGACGAGGAACAGACGTTCAGACGGACAAACGGACAGACAGACAAAACCATCACATAAGGGGACTTATTTTTCTTTCCAAAAATTCCTCTCAAAGTGTGGGCAAAGGGCATTCCATATCTTGGGAAATGGTTCTTCAAAAATCCTTCGAGGGTTATAAAGATACTGCAGAGGCAGTACGTAGTTCTATCAAGCCAAAAGGTCTCTAATCGACTCACCTAATTGCCAATTGCGGTTTTCCCCGTTCGTGATTATCTCCTTTCTCGAATGACGCCTGATGGCTGGCGGGAGCGCTATGCGATATCGTTAGTACCGTATAATCTTTGTGCTGTTGAGGAATTGGGATCGTTGTGTGTTTGGTGCCAGAAAGGTTTTCCGATTTCGATACCCACGTTTGTTCCAAAATTGGAGTTGGAGAATTCGATGTTAATGGACTGAAATAGAAAGCAAAGAATAGTTTAAATGATACATTTGCATAATTTGATACTCTTGTATATTGTCTAACATTTCTCTCGACATTTCTTTAATCCTTCTTTTCATTACTAGCCGCGACCAAGAAGTTCGTTTCCTTCACTTGTAAAGAGTTAAAAGCAACTGTTTAAAGGTAGTAAATAATGATTTCATTATCACCCAATAGTGAATAATGAGATCGGTCACTTCCAAAGAAGTTGATATACGATAGCGTAGTTTTAGGTATTGTACCTATGTTTTGGGGGAAACTAGAAGTTTGCGGTGTGGGTTTTTGGCTTTGGGACAATTCGCGAGCCTAATTTGCTTTCGCTGATTCGAGAGAATTAACGGTTTACATACAAAATTCGCAAATCTTTCACAGGGTTTATGAAATTCAGGAGAAGCTGAATTTGCGACGACAAATCGGCGATGGCGAATTGTTCTAGAGCCAACCCTATTTGTAGTTCTCACATATTTTCTTTTATACCAAGGATCAGATAGAGAGAAATGCGTGTTTTCGGTTTAGTCCGCTCTTGGGAATTATTATATTAGCAATATTATAGTTTCCCGACTGTACTGAACCGAGAAAAAGAAGAAATATAGATATCTATAGAAATCTTTGATCATTTAAACAAAATTGCTATATTTACACTATAGATAACCATTATTTTGGATATTTCGATATAGAATTTTAAACTTCGAAGAAGATATATTTTATACAATTATCCACACTCACCATTGCTCCAAGGTATCAGCCTCTTCCTCGGCCGCCGTTACATCACTAGGAGGTGTCAAATAACCTGCCAGTCTGAATCCGCGTCCACGTAAATTTGACCCTATCCGTAAGCTCTGGCGAAACGATGCTCGTGCGCGATCAACTGTTCCACAAAGCAAAATTAGCAAATCAAAAGATTAAATGGTATGCAGAACAGTCAACGCTGTTGTAGTTAACTCAAAACCACTGCTGAACAAAGGGTTGAGGTTAACGGAACTTACACTTGCTTAACCGATTTTTGCTGATGGGACTAGTTTCCAATGACGCGGTTGGTTTCGCGGTCAAGTCCTCAAAGTTTATTATAATTAGGCTGATATCATCAACGTCGCTTTTTATAGGCGCTATAACTTCAGAGCATAGGAACTTGGAACCTAAAATTGAAATTAGTGTATTAGATTGGTTTACCGTTTAGGGCCATAACACACACACACACACACACACTGTATATAGTAGTATACTGCTATCCGATTTATAATATCGAACGGTACGGAATTTAAAATATTAGCCTAAAGTGCGTCTCGTCTAACAAGTGAGAAACATGAATTCACTACTTAGTGATTTCCATTCTTTCCGAATGCACAAGGCATTCTTTGTGAGGTAACCTTACTCGCATGAACTATTTAGAGTGTCACTGGAGAAATGTAAACAAATCGTCATGATATATGCTATAGATAGAGACTAGGAGAGTACGCTTTTCTATGAATGCAGAGCCTACGGCACAGCTTGATCTTTCAATCAGACCGAAGAACCAAAAATTTACTCCGCATGATTATGTGCAAAAAGGTGCTTGGGAGAAGTACTATTCCTCATGTTACATTTTAGCCATTTGATCTCGAACTCGCGGTTACTAGAGTAAGTACGTTATTGATATTTTGGACGCTATTTAGTACTTATTTTGCGATATATTGTGGTAGGCGCGAATGATTCCTAATTAAGGTGCAGTGTAGTCTCTATTTGAGAAATTGAGATTGCGTTCCTAATTAGCAAAAAGTAACATGAAACATGTTATGTTAGTATAGAATGGTACCTCAAAGCATTACGGCGTAGTTACAATATATCCCCCAGCGTTTGTCTTTCATAAAATTACAAAAACGATTTATTATTCTTTGACCTACCTCGATCCTTTTAGTTTTGTAGGTTCAAAGTGACGCTTGGCATCACGTTCGAAAACCAAAGATAGAAAGGACCGCGTTTTTTGTTTACAACGTGAACCAATAACGGGATGTTCCACAACTTCCTGCTTACCTTCCAGCATTATTGCTCTACCTAATGAAATCCAAGGCTAAGCACTGTATAAAACCTGCAGTTATTCAACCCTATAATAAGGTGACTGATGTGTACATCTTGCAAAAGAACTTCGTCGAGTTAAAAGATGTATTTCAATCCATGAAACTGCTCATTGAAGTTTAAACGTAAAGAAAGCGGACAATAAAAGCACACCAATTCTGTTACGAATCAGTGTAATAATCCGCAAAACAACATTATATTAGCATTCCAACAAACTATGATCAACTTTCTAATGAAAATTGTTCAATAGATTTTTCACGAACATACTGGCAAACCTATGAATGCACACTGGCGGAGAATTTCCCTAAATCCACATATGTACAAATGTCACCTAGTCATTATACTCGTATTATTAAAAATTAAAATTAATTTATGCAGGTATGTCGTGACCATAAACAATGTGGAAATTAATTTTAAACTAATTTTTTCACGTACAACCGACATGTGACAAGTTTTAAACTTTAATTTTCAGTATGATGTACCAAACATCTTAAAAGTATCGTCCTAATTGTTTTTTTTTTACATTTTTAATTATAAAAGCAATAAACTTTGGCGGAGCGCCATGTTAGCGCGATAGTTACCTACAGTGGAGATAGGAGGAAAATTGCTGCGAATGGTAGATGTGATGCAAAAGAAAACAGTACCCTACTAAAAATAAGGACAAATACTTCTAATATTAAGCATATTGAGGTATGTATTCTCTCACAACCTGACTTTAAAACGGCGTTCAATAGCACATCTCTGGAAGAAATTATAAAGAAACCAATGCCTATCTCAGCAAAATTGTCCAATATTGCCTATTGAACAGAGTTATAGAAGTCCGAGAGGAACAAAAAATTATAGTGTCCAGGGGAGTCCCACATGGATCCGTCTTGAAACGTCCACGAGACGAGATACAAACTAGCTGAATATGAGCAATAGAAGAAGGCTACAGTTTGCAACACTCTGCCACAAAGTACTCACAACAAAGACACCAGCTTATCTTTTTAATAAAATACGCTTCAGAACAGATGTTCATGATGCATAAATTTAAGATACCGCGGTTTAATTTCTCCACCGAAGCATTCCACTGCTCTATACGAACGCACCTTTCAGTACCAAATGTATAAAGTCTATAATAATTTATCCGCTGAACTCAAAGCTTCATCTCTTTCTCTATTAAAATGAGTCGCTTCGCAACCGCTATGAAGGTTAGGAATTCAGATAATACTAACCGATTGTGAGTAAAATAGTATACAAACCTCGCTGGTCAGTGGTTCATAACCAACGCCTCGCGCTTACCTTAAGCTTTCGGGGTAGGTAATGAACCACCTCCCAGCTCGGTATGTAATCTACTATTTCTGCGATCGATGTGGACCTTTGGACCTATACAGTACCGATAGGGAAACACGCACGATACCAATTCTGTTTACTCTTTTCCAAGATAATCGAAGAAGAAAAAATATGTCCGGAATATCATCATGAACAGTGAAGTTGACGCTGCGCATTTTGCAGATTTTAATTTCATAATGGGAGCTACCTTAGAAGCATTTATGGTTAAAATTTCACAAAAAGTATCTCCATAAATAAGAAAATTGGCAGTACCGAGTTTCCCCATGCGAGGATTTAATTTAGACTATGTGCGCTACTTTTGTTTCTATTAGATCCAGCGATTCAGGATTCATAGAGTAAACAACGAATCCAGCTATTGTTGAAATTCGAAAAACAAACTCCAAAAAAGGAAGAAATAAAATATCTTGAAGACTATTAGGATAGGAGTAGACCAACAGCAATAGTGCGCTATCTAACGTGGCGCCTTGAAATCAATTCCTAGATTTTTAGATTTTTTCTGCTGCAGACTTCCTGGTTCACAACCACCCTGTGAACAGGAATGATAATCATATAAGAGCTTGGTGGCAACTTGACATAGGTACCTACTTCTGTATTGGATCTCGCCCCCATGCCGCATCTTATTCATAGCAGGAGAATTAACGGTCCTCTTGGCGTGGTGCCGGAAAGTAATAGGTACACATTCCGGTGGGCAGATTTCTTTCTGTGTGCGCGTGAAGAATTATTACAACTACATTTTCCCTAACGATCTAAAGTCGCAGTGAATTAGCATGGAACCATAAACTAGGATATAAAATTACTGCAGAAATGTCATAAACACATACAGAAAAACTTTGCAGTGGCACTGCGGACATATAAATTGATTCGTTTTAGAATGTCAAACTTCTTTACACTGTTTTTGTGTTAAAATATTTGCCACAACACTACAGTCGTACGTATTGCTCATGATACTACAACTAATAATTACTGTCTCTCTCGCAATAATCGCGTCATATAGGTACATATAAAGTATTTAATTTTAATTACATGCAAGGTCACGGAAATCAACGCGAAAATGCCGCATGCAAGAATATTATCAAACACATTTCCGGAAGAATATGTACAATTACATTTTAGCCTATTAGTACCTACCCCCGCCATACTGCAGCCAATAATAACATATTAACAAAAACTTGAGTAATTTTTCATGTACCTACAGACGTTAGAGTGTTTAATATACTGCAGTACAGTACTAAAACATTGAGGTTTTTGTTAAATTTTAGAGACTCGTATTCTTTACAGGGTGTTTCTATACAGGGTAATCGTTTTTTTGGAAATATCAAAATTTCATCATATGTCGACGTTCATTTGAAGCAACTTTTAAAGGATAATTTTTTTTCCAAGATAACGGCTCAACGGTTTTGTTCAAATTTTGGATCTGTATATTAGTCATACGGAAACGAAAAACAACGGGCCAGATTTTGAAAAAAAAAATTAAAAAAACCAAAATGTTTTTCGGCAAAACGGTTATGGGTATAACGGTATATGGGGATCTCGTAAGCCGGAAGAGAAACAAAGCCGCTTAATAAGCAGGGAAAGTTATGCAGAATTTGGTGCTAATTAATTTTCGTTTCAGAATTATTAACTCCACAAATTGCCAAGTTCTGGCCCAAAAATTATTTTAACAAACCCTTAGTGATTTATTCTCGCCCTTTTATATCAACATCAACAGTTTTTACATTGAAGTTTACAATGTATTTCTTATAGAAATAATTCCATAGCTTGCTTATTTAACATTTTTCGTTTATTGTCTGGCATAGTGTCCGTCAACATGGCCATGGAAGTATGGCCATAAGAAATACATTGTAAACTTCAATGCAAACATTCAAGATTTCCGAATGAAATACCAAGTATTTGGTAAGTATCTCCGATGTAATTTTTTTCTCGCTCATAAGAAAGTTTAATGTGATTGACTCGAAACCCACAAGTCATGAAAATTTCAGTTTAGCATCGTCAGAAAGCTTAGAAAAAATCACTAAGGGTTGGTTAATAGTTATTTGTAGAACTAGAGAAGAAAGTGGAGTTATTCAACTCGAGTTCAAAGTTTGGCACAGGTTCCGGACCTGAAGGAATAAAGTGCTCTGAATTTGTGTCAGGTTTTTCATCAGGTCACGTTTTGTAAGTGGATTTGATTTGACGGTTCATTCATCGTCCTTATTGTCACTCGAAATTGTCCAGAACGATCGTCAGACCGTATTTAATGCTACGTCCTCCTAAAAAATGAAAAGGAAGAACACCTGGTGGCGATGTTGCCCCTAGGTGAACTTCGCCCTTTAGATCGTCATCTAATAAAGACCTTATTATTATTATTATTATTAACATCTGTCGGACCAAACCTGATCCGGCGTCAACCTAGTCGGCTTCTTCGGCTGTAATCCGGCGCCTGATCGGAACCTGATAGTATGAAGGTTTGTTGGCGTTCGCTCTCAAGCCGTAGAGTTTCGGTAACATCAAAAGAATTGAAATCCAAAATCCATCGAACGTATGCTAATGTGTTTTTGGCGACCGTCGCACTGTTCGTGTTTTTCTTGTTTCTTCTTCATTGAGAATTATAAATGTAGCACTCGCGATAATTTCGTCATTCTTTCGTGCACTGCGTCGTGGCCATTTGAATTGGAACGTTGAAAGTCTGATGAAAAATACGGATTCAGGTCCAAGAAACGTTTGCTCAAGACAGCGAAGGCTATATGTACGTTTCTTCGACGCCAAACGAACATTCTCTAGCAATCGCCAAATCTCCTTCGTTGGGCTTCGTTGGCCCGATCTATACGCAAATTAAGAAAACAACTTCGTCCAGAAAGCTGGTGATTTCAACACACTAAAAAAAATCGTGTAGCCTGGGTAGCCCAAATTACAACTCATTCATTTCGGGCACTCAAGGGAAACCTTTATTTAGTCTCCCAGGAAATGATTTAAATGTCGACCTGTACAAACACATTTCGCGAACGTCGTGACGGATTGTTCGTTTGTTTGGAGAGGAGCGCTGCCAAAGTGATGTCTATAAATAATATTTTTATAATTTTTGTTACGCAACTCGTAGTATTGGAAGAAATAACTCACTCCTTTGTATTAGTTAATAAAATCGTTTTATTTCCGTACGGAATGTGCCTATCTTTAGATGCGTCCTTGACGTTACGAGGGCCAAGAGCAGACAGTGTAGCGACCTTAAAATGTAAATCACATACAGAATACACATACATTGACCTACTTTCAGATTGCTTCTTTATTTGCAGAAAGACGGTTCAAACAAACAGGCGGTTCTCGTGCCAAAACGTAGTCCTTGAAAATAATGACCAAATTGGATCAATAACGATTCGAATGTGCACATCGCCCGTATTTGGTAGACATTCCCCCAGAGACCATTTTATGTCCCCAATTCTCAATCGGTTGCTTCAAATGCTTTAATGTTTTGTACTACAGAAAGGGCACCGAATCAGAGCTAAGGCCTTTTTCACAGCGGTCTATGTCCTTGTCAGAGTTCCTTAGGTTCTCTAATAGATACAAGCTTTCAAAAGTTCCTCAAATTCTTTCCAGCGCAGTGAAGGGCTCTCCAGAGCCATCTAGGCTCCTTCAACAACTTTGCAGAAGACTGTAATTCCTTCCCCGAATACCTGTTTTAGGCCCTCTCTAGAACCTTTCAGGCATCGTCAAGCGCTGTTTTGGACTTTTCCAGTTTGTTGACCACTTCAATTGTTGGAATATCTAGTAGCTATCGCCAATAATACAGTTTCATGTTGTGCCTCTGTGTACAGACCATTGTGATAGTGTCTTCGGGAAGATGATTAAATAAACAAAAACATAAATTAAGCGGCAGAGCATGGCGAAACATAGATTAATTTCTATAAAATTTCTGTAATATTTTGACAAAACGATCCCTAGAAAACGATCTCCCCATGTTTTTTGCGAAGACTCCAGCTTATCATTTTTCTCACATCAGAAATGTTTACAGTTTGATCTTTAATTAATTATAATGTAATCTATAATATAACTTACATTATGATTGTATTTAGTAAATAACAAAACAAAAAAGAGAGACAAAAAAAAGTAACAAAATAATAAATGTAATAATATGACTTTAAATGCAAAAACAAGTTATACTTTAATTTTTCCTAGTATTATAAAGCGACTCATTGACATTAGATTTGAAATTGGAGTAACGTGAATTTATAAATTCAAAAATTAAATTAAGTGTATGAGGAGCCATATTGCCAAAGCATCCCTTATATTTAGAAGTCCTAGGTTTAGGTATATAATATTTTAACTTTCTGATATTGATGCTGTGTAGATCGCTACGCTTTACTATAAGTTCAGTTAAATACCTTGGACTGTTATACTTTATCAGCTTCCATAGGAAGGTGCCATAAGTTGAAATACTTTTTCATGTGTTTTGAGTTCGCCTAATTTTGTATAGATTGGGTGATGACCAAAAGGAATGGCATGAACAAATCGTACGCACGAATTTTGCAGTTTTTGCAACTTTGCTTTATTATAGTCCGGTAGAAAATTAGACTGCAGAACAGTACCTAATATGTTTGTGGATAAATTAGCGATTTCACTAACATGAGTTTTATTGGTACGTCTAGTTATAATAGATTTTGATTTACAAATATCAATGCTAAATAGCCTATTTACATGTTGCCAAAAACTAAAATTATCATCTAATATTAAACCTAATTTTTTGCGGATTGAACCCATTGTATTTGAACATTATTTACATATACATGTAGACTGTCCAAGTGAACGTAATTTTTATTAGTTTTATTACTAACATAGAGAGCAATTGTTTTATCGAGATTAATACGCAGCCCATTTGGTAAGCACCATTCAGATATTTTGTTTGCTTATTGTCTGAGAAATGCTACGTATATGACAAGAGATGTATAATTGCAAATCATCTGCGTACATTCTTTTGTTATTTTATTGTTAATAATAATTTTGTACATGTGATAGTTGGCGTATTTGATTACCAATGAGAGTGCACTGACATAAATTAAAAATAATATCGGACACAAAATACTGCCTTGAGGTACGCCTACAGAAGTTTCCAGTGAAGGTGACGTTTGTCATTATACAAAACCGATTGAGACCTTTGTACTAATTAAATAGCTCTTAAACCAATGTGTTCCAGTTTTGAGAGTAGTAGATCGATCGAAAATGCTGATGGAAAGAATTTCAGAAAGGTTTGTAGCCTTGTTGACTTTTGCAATAGGGATGACTGTAGCAGACTTCCATCTGTTTGTAAATTTATGTGTTGTAAGAGAATCGCTAAAAATATGTACTAATGCAGTTATACAGTAAGGACGAGATTTAACATAGAAATATTGTCATTCACGGTCATATAGGTATATCACATCATGTTCAATAATGTTGTGAAGAGTGAATTCATTTAACGGTGTATAATACGTATCAGTATCGGCTGCAGGTTGAGGTATGTACTATGTAAGTGTTTCCAATTACACCGAGGGAGGAAATAGTTATTAAGCTCAGAAGAAGTTACATGACTTGGTAAGTTAAGTAGGTACTTTTTGCTTTTGACGTTATAGTGTTGAAGATTTCGCCAAATATCTTTTTGGTCCTTGCTTCGTGTTTTAATAAAATTCAAATATGCGACCTTTTCTTTTTTTATAGCCGAACTGACATAATTTTTTAACTCACGTCACAGAATGAACTCGGAGCTGCCCATAGTCTAAGGAGGTACCACTAAATGAGAACCATTCCTTTTCAAAGGCTTAACGTATTCATGATAATTGAGCGAGTATGACGATTGGACAACGACTGAGGGATACAGTATACTTAGTCTTAATTTATTGCAAAGTTAAAATTCTCAGGTCTCGCTGAAACGTAAGTATTCTGCAGAGGAGCCTTTCCCTTATCATATAAATGTGTACATTTGCAATTGCCGTCGCCAAATAACCAAAACCTATAATTGCTTACAAGAAATAAATTTAATTAGTAACCACACGCAAGGACGCCGTTAAAAACTATCGTCCATATTTGCGCAGCCACGTCTTACCGTCTTTCCGATAATATAAAATTTCTGCATGTTTTTCGTTGCCTTCAGCGAGAGCGATTCTAAGGGCGTTCAGAGACTGCTGAGATGTTAATGGACCACAGAGAAATTCGCAGGATGCCGTTTTTTGCATAACTTCTGCCCTTGAATATCCAGTCAGGCGACAGAAGCCGTCCGAACAGTAAATGATATGACATTGTCCACTTCTACTGTTTGCCACCAAAAACGACCGATCTGCAATGGAAAAAAATGTTAGTGGCATTGAGGTACGAGTAGGTGGTTTAACATCTGCAACTCTGCACGAGATAGCTAACAAGGATTTGTGTCGATTAGGTAAATATCGATTTCTTTATTGTGACTCGAAAGTTAATTGGAAGTGAGTGTTTCGCTATCTGGGTGTGTTAAGAGAGCTAACTGAGCCTTGACCAATGAGTGGACCTTTACATGGAGAGTAAGTACTACCTTACACATTGCAATTGCCAAGTTTGCTTAATCGGTGTTCATATACCTAAAAAATTATAATGGGAACAATTCGACTTTGATGCATTCGCACTAATCCTTAAAATTAAACAAACACTGTCAATCGGTCCTCTTATTTTAATATAATGTACCTATTGAAAGGTAAACTAACTCAGTTGACAATGTCCGGTTAATTCCAAATTTAGTGGCTCCCTATTTTACCAGTACTCCAAATTGCCCAACGAAAAAGTAAAAACCGGTGAATTGAGACTATTTTATAGTACCTGTGTCTTGGTCGAATCGCAGTGCCTTTTTATGCAGGCGAGCAACAATACCTATCAATCTGAGACCAGCCAGAATATTCATGAATGCATTTCGCAAGAAATACTTGAAAAAGTGCATGGACACAGTTACGGAGGTTTTATGTGCCAATGAATCTTTAAGAGTGTAAGATTTGGGTTTCCTTCAATAAAATTGTGTCGTGATCAAGCATTTCCCTACTTTGCCAGAAACTAGTGTAAGACATCCAAATTGTAGTTGTATCACATAACTCACGTGCAACAATTCTAAATAAATATGAATTTGACCAAGAATTGGTTATGTTAATTCCGGAATTTTGTTATCGAACCTTGTACATATCCTACATATAATATGAATAATTATATCTTAATAATAATAATAATAATAATACACGTCCTAGCACAGCTAAAAAACACAAAACTCTTTCTTCTCAGAAACGCACCATGTTATCACAACCTACCCGTATTCAACCCAAACGCAAAGCCAAACAAACCCTTGCACCATAAACAACGCCACTTACTTAAATTGCAGGAATTTTTTTATTTTTTATTTTCTTTTATTTTATGTATTTATTTTTTATTTTTGTATGTTTGTTTGTTTGTTAGAGTTGGCTATTGTGGCCATCAATTTTGGTAAGTATGAATTACATACTATTCCTATATTTCCTTAATGTGTATTTTACTATTATTATATATACGAACGATGTACAGACACAAACACTAATCGTTACTTGATTTTAATCCGTGCGATTAGTTAACCAGGCTAGACCTGAGTTCCCACAAGAAACACTTCATAATTACGCAGCTGTTTATAACAGTCCCAGTAACTTGGTTTTTTAGTTTGCTTAAATCTGATGAGAGCTTTGTTTCTTACAGATATCATAAATTTGGGTCTAGGACACTTCGCCGAATGCCCACAACGCCGACACGATTTTTTGAAGGTCCATATCGCCGACTAGGGACACTACGCCGACGGACACTACGCCGACCGTGCCCACATCGTCGACAAGTGTACAAGGGACACAACGCCGACCATGTCCACTTCGCCGACGGACACTACGCCGATCGTGCCCACATTGCCGAAACGTGTGCAAGGGACACTAAGCCGAACGTGACCACAACGCCGACTGTTCGAAAATCCAGGCCCCTCATACTCTGTCCAGTGTATGAGTTTGCATTTTAAAAAGTTTAAAAAACATGTCCTAAACCTACAAATAACCTAATATCCAAAGCTGCTTTGCTTCACACTCCGTCCAGTTTGATTAAGAATTTTCGTATGAGTCTGTAGTTCGAAAAAAGTTAAAAAAAATATTCTGAACCTACAATAACCTAACGTCAAAAGCTACTTGGTGTTGCACACCGTCCAGCTTGATTAAGAAGTGTTGTATGAGTCGACGTTATGGTCACGTTCGGCTTAGTGTCCCTTGTTCACTTGTCGGCGATGTGGGCACGGTCGGTGAAGTGGGCATGGTCGGCGTTGTGTCCCTTGCACCCTTGTCGACGATGTGGGCACGGTCGGCGTAGTGTCCCTAGTCGGCGATATGGACCTTCAAAAAATCATGATGGTTGCTAACCATTAATAAGCTTCATAACTATACCCGTCACTAAGGTCACTAATTTACATTGTCATCAAGAGGTCGACGAAAAAAAAATTTAAACATCGGCGATTGATAAACATACAATAATCGAATGATAACCCAACATTTCTTGATATAACGGTGAATATGGTTGACTAAACATAACATGTAAAAAACAGTGTCAGAAGCAAAACTAACTTATACTAAAGACCCCCGGACTTAATAAGACCAAAGTCTGCAGTGGATTGAACACTGCGAATAGGGGATTCTTCATCTCTCCTAGGGAAAATGTTTCCATTTTTGGTCCACGTAAACTTAAATTTCATATCCTTTTGAAGTTGACGTAATCATTGCCCAAATGTATTCATTATCGATTTTGACGACGCTAATTTATGTTCCTCAACAATGGAACGTCGTGACTACTACCATTAGCACCATTTAGAAGGTAATGCTACTACACTACCACAAATGGCAATGAGTGAAGGCGAAAATATAAATACAATTCGCTTTATTGCAATAACCTCCTGTCGTAACATGCAATATTATTGTTGCTTTCGTTAATGTTCGTTGTACAGATCATGTATTGGAGCATTAAATTAAACAAGACACGTATACATTTGGTGTGTGGTGTTATTGTATTGTATCCATCATCCTCAGTAGGTTATTTGGATAGAGAGAGCGGCGCGGAGGTGGCATTACTCCAAAATGACCTCATGAAATAAAATGTCCATCAAAACCTGGAAGAATGGCGTGAGTAACACGTTATATTCCGTGCCTTACCATTTCCCAAATGACTTGTGGTGTACCCTCGGGTGTACCTATTAATTATAACCTGAATTCTTTGAGGAAAGGAGCATAAATATTGATTATCAACGATAATAGAACGCAGGCCTTCTCTATGAACTAATTAATTGCAAACAGATTTTGATAATCAACACTGTATAATTTCTAATGGAAAATTGGTACTTCTATTTTTCTAAATGTTTGTCACACATCCAAACAGGTGTACTTGCTTTCAATTATTTATAGACATATTTTGATGAAGTAAGTGAGAGAGGAATGCAAATTCGGTTTGCATCATGCGCAATTCGTTATCACTTTTTGTCAGTTTGGTACGCGGTCCTACTAAAGCAGGCCTTCCACGTGCATTCATTTCATCGAACTTGGAGTGTACACTCCTACAAACAGACCAAGTTCGAACGTGGAAGTGGTCATCGCGCAAAGTTTGCGTCGTTCTTGGTGCGGAGCGAAGAGTTTTGCCAATAAATTCTTGGCGCGGAGCGATGCTGGGCGCGCGCGTGGATGTGGTTGTCGCTCCTGGAGTTAAGACATAAGTGAGATAGCTTTACGGTTTACGCATTGTAGTGTATGAGGAACCGAAAACGCATATCGTTGTTTTCGCGTGCACAATCGTACCTGTATTTGTTCGCCAAGTTTGTACGAACCATGTGCGAACGTGGAAGTGGTGTTTCAACATTCTGTTCCAAGTTCGAAGACATGGCGTTAATTCAAAGTTCAATGAAATGAATGCACGTGAAAGGCCTGCTTAAGTCATAGACTTGTCAGTAGGCGTCGATTAATAATAATAATACTAATCGTTACTTGATTTTAATCCGTGCAATTAGTTAACCAGGCTAGAACTGAGTTCTCACAAGAAACACCGACCATATAATAATAATGGTCTATATTGTAATTTCTTAGGTATCTGATGTCTCATTGATGTGTTCGATATATTGTGAAGCAATAGAAACAAATACATGCAGAATACGCCCAAGCATGCTATATAACAAAGGATTGCTCGATTCCTATACTTGTAATGTTGCTGTCAGAATTGACAATTATAATTTGCTAAGTTGTAAACGTTTTCTCGTTACCTAGTGTTATAACTGTGTCTACAAGTGTTCGCAATATTGCGATAAAAATGCTTTGACGCCTACGTTTTGCTGAGCATGTACGTCAAATATCCAGTTCAGCCACCAAAACATTGGGCTTTCTTATAAGAAATAGTAAAAATTTTACCAATTTACACACCATGTTCTCACTATATTATTCCCTTGTGAGACCTAAACTAGAGTACTGTTGCTTAATTTGGTATCCCATCTATGATGTCCATATCAAAGCAGTGGAAGGAATCCAAAGAAAATTTCTTAAGTATATGTCCTTCAGGGTAGATGGGGTGTACCCAGCAAGAGGGCCTTCTCAAGAACTATTGCTTGAGCGCTTCTCTTTTGAATCGTTAAGTAAGAGACGCATTTCTAACAGCATAAAATTTCTTCATGGCATCATAAGCAATCATGTTGATTGTCCTTCCCTACTTGAATCCCTTAACATATCTGTCCCAGCACGCACTTCCCGGTTTCCAAAGACATTCTTAAATCCCATTCCCAAAACTAACATATTATCAAAATCCCCTTCCTTCATAATGTCGCGTAATTTTAACATATACTGTGGACATGCAGACATTAATTTTTCTCCTCTATCTGAAATTTTGAAATTTGTTTAAATTTGTTTTCTTTTATGTATTTGTTTTCTTTTATGTAATGTCATGGTTTAATTTAGTTACTTAATAACATTGTAACAGGTTTACTCTTATTTTTATTTTATCTTGCATATTATCTTTTTGTCTATAGTGCCGCTTGCGCAAACGTAATAAACTTTAATTTTGTTCTGTTATTGGATACTTTGTATCTGTAGAACAATAAACATTATTATGGTCGGTGTTTCTTGTGAGAACTCAGGTCTAGCCTGGTTAACTAATCGCACGGATTAAAATCAAGTAACGATTAGTGTCTGTGTCTGTGTCTGGTGAAGTTATGTAGGGTTCTACAGAAACAAAAAAAAATATATTCACACACTCGCATTGGAAATCTACGGATAGTATGTAATTCATACTTACCAA